CGTCAGTCCACACACCTCGTCAGTCCACACACACACACCTCGTCACACGCACTCACGTACACACGTGGGCTGAGTCACGCAATTCATTGGACCTTTAATTACCGGATACATTAATTAGCGTCGCGCCAGTGACGTCATGGGCGGTGTTCAGGTGAAGGGGGGGGTCATGGGGAGGGGGGGCTCATGGTAACACAGAGTGGGACTGTGTGGCGTGTGGGGGCCCATTGCCTCAACCCCCACACCTCGTGAGCCCCCCAACTCGGCTCCCCCTCTTCCCCACCCCTCCACCTCAACTCCGCTCGTAGCACCTTTAAAGAGAGAGTGAATAACGCACACCGCACCATCATTGCAGCAGAGGGGGCGCCTAGCACCACGAAGACACACACAGACCACGCACACGCACACCACGCACACACACCACGAACACACACACACCACGCAGACACACACACCACGTACACACACACCACGCACACACACACCACGCACACACACCACGCACACACACACAGCACGCACACACACCACACACACACACCACGAACACATACACCACGCACGCACACACACCACGCACACACACCACGAACACACACACACCACGAACACACACACCACGAACACACACACACCACGAACACGCACACACTACGAACGCACACACAAGTGCACACACATCACAAACGCGCACATGCACAGACAAGTGTGCCCATACAGACACACACACAATGGACACACAGATGCGCACAGGCACATACAGATGCAGACTCGCAGGCATACACACACGCGCCCACAAAGACACAGATCCCCTGTGTAGCCTGCACAGGCTGTTGGGGAAAGTGCCATTAGCGAGCACCTATGAAGGCCGGCACGGCATACGAGGGGGGTGAGTGGCCAACACCATGCCCGGCCGCCTTTGTCTCTCCAGTGCTGATGTTTGCACACCACACCAGGTCCTCATTTAAGGCTGAGTCGACCAAGTGGAGGCCCAGAATCGATTCAGATATATTCCGTCACTAATGTTGGCTGCGAGCGGGAATCCAACTCAGGTTGCTGCGTTTGTAGCGCAGTGCGCTAACCACTGCGCCACCACTCCACGCACGCTCACACACGATCAGATGCACACAGAATACAGACAAACGCACGCACACGGGAGAACACACAGACACAGTCAGACACAGACACAAGAGAACACACACACGCTCACACACGAGAGAACACACACACGCTCACACACAAGATGACACAGACACGCTCACGCACAAGATGACACAGACACGCACACACACAAGAGAACACACACAGAGGAGAACACACACACGCACAGGCGAACACACCACACATACTGTTCTGCTCAGTCAGCAGAACAACACTTAAACAACATCTGCAAGAACAAGAATCGTAACACTGTAACCTTGACAACAATAATAATTACAATATCAATAATAATTAATCATAATGCCGAGGTTGAGGGTTTACATCTCGAGATAAATAGAGCTTAGGCAGAGAGCAGCTCAAGGCAACAATCAAGGGGCTGCTGGGGCAGCAGAGAGGGCAGTGCAGGGTTTATAAAGAGAGCAGGGTGGTTGCAGAAAGGGCAAGGTTTAGACAGAGGGCACGGTTTGGCGAGAGAGAGAGGGAGAGAGGGCAGGCAAGGTGGAGGTGAGGCTCAGAGGTCGGCACTGCTGAGATCCTGGGTTCGAATCCAGGGTTCAGCCGCCTGTGGTTACACCGAAGTTCTCACAGCGTCGTGAGTTGATGGCCTCAGTCCGGTCACTTACACGGAGACCCATAGCCTCACATGGAGACCCATAGACTCACACAGAGACCCATAGCCTCACATGGAGACCCATAGACTCACATAGACACTCATAGACTCATATAGAGACCCATAGCTTCACATAGAGACCCATAGACTCACACGGAGACCCATAGCCTCACATGGAGACCCATAGACTCACATATACACTCATAGACTCATATAGAGACCCATAGCCTCACATAGAGACCCATAGACTCACATAGAGACCCATAGACTCACACAAAGCCCATAGACTCACACGGAGACCCATAGACTCACATAGAGACCAATATCCTCACATAGAGACCCATAAACTCATACGGAGTACAATGGCCTCACAGAGAGACCCCTAAGACTCACTAATAGACCCACATAGACTCGAATAGAGAACCATAGACTCACACAGAGACCCATAGCCTTACATAGAGACCCATAGACTCACATAGAGACCCATAGACTCACACGAAGACCCATAGACTCACACGGAGAGCCATAGACTCACATAGAGACCCATAGACTCACACGGAGACCTATAAACTCACACGCAGACCCATAGCCTCACATAGAGACCCATAGACTTACATAGAGACCAATAGACTCACACAAAGACCCATAGCCTCACACAAAGACCCCTAGACTCACTAAGATACCCACAGAGACTTGAATAGAGACCAATAGTCTAGCATAGAGACCCATATAGTCTAATAGATACCCACAGTCTCACACAGAGAACCCTATACTCATTAAAATACCCACAAAGACTCTAATCGAGACCCACAGACTCACGCAGAGACTCATAGACTCACAGAGAAACCTACAGCCTCACACAGAGACCCATAGACTCACAGAGAGACCCTACACACATAGACTCAGATAGAGACCCATAGCCTCACATAAAGACCCACATGATTATACATACTCTTTGGTTCTTTTGGTAAAGTCACGTAGGTGAAAAATAAGAATACAAAAATAACTAAATTAATTTAGAAATATAAATAACTAAATTAATTTAGTTACTTCTAATTTTATTCTTATTTTTTATTTTTATTTTTTCACCTACGTGACTTTACTGAAATAACCAAAGAGTATGGATCCTTGCAGTCACGAAAACTTCAGATCTAGAATGATTAGACATGTGAAGTTCTGATTAAACTGAATGGTCTCAGCCCGGTCACCAATGATTGCACAAACAAACAAAAAAAACACCTATGACATAAAAATTTGGTTTTCAAATAAACTGGGCCAAACTCCAGCTCTGGGAATTTAAAAGAAAGTAATTCATCCATCGTGCGGAAACATCTCGCAGCAGGACGCGTGGGAAGGTGCACCCCTTCCCAGGCCACTCGTAGTATTTTTTTTCAGGAGCCAAAAAGTCCCAAGAGATCTCCTGCTCCTCAGACGGGGGGGGGGTCTGCGGTGCTCATCGCCAGTTTCACAGCCCTGAGCCAGCTGTGGACATTCCCAATGTGTATGACGAGGGCGAGTCTCCCCACAGAACAACCACTGTTGACCGACGCGCAAAACGGTCCTCTTTTTATAGACCCCCCGAGGGGATGATGGGCCGAGCGAGTCAACCCCCACCCCCCATACCCACCCCGGCCATGGATTTGAACGACCCTGCTCTGCTGCCGCGGGGCCACCTGGCCGGAGAGTTTCTGGAGGCCCCGGCTACTGGAGGCCCCGGCTACTGGAGGCCCCGTCTACTGGAGGCCCCGGCTGCTGGAGGCCCCGGCTGCGATGTCTCCCCCGACTCCCCGGGGCGCACGGCCCCCTGCGAGATTTCCGAATCCCTTCTCCGTTCCCCCTCGACGACGGCGCGATTGTCGCCGTCGTCGGGATACGCGCTGGGAACAAATTGCCAACAAAAGAGGGGGCGCTGGTTTGGGGAGAGGGCAGTTGTTTAGAGAGAGGGTGGTGTGGTAAGAAAGGGCAGTGTTTAGGGAGGGGGCAGTGTTTATGGAGAGGGCAGTGTTTATGGAGAGGGCAGTGTTTATGGACAGGGCAGTGTTTATGGACAGGGCAGTGTTTATGGACAGGGCAGTGTTTAGGGAGGGGGCAGTGTTTATGGACAGGGCAGTGTTTATGGAGAGGGCAGTGTTTATGGACAGGGCAGTGTTTATGGACAGGGCAGTGTTTATGGACAGGGCAGTGTTTAGGGAGGGGGCAGTGTTTATGGACAGGGCAGTGTTTATGGAGAGGGCAGTGTTTATGGACAGGGCAGTGTTTATGGACAGGGCAGTGTTTATGGACAGGGCAGTGTTTAGGGAGGGGGCAGTGTTTATGGACAGGGCAGTGTTTATGGACAGGGCAGTGTTTATGGAGAGGGCAGTGTTTATGGAGAGGGCAGTGTTTATGGAGAGGGCAGTGTTTATGGACAGGGCAGTGTTTATGGACAGGGCAGTGTTTAGGGACAGGGCAGTGTTTATGGACAGGGCAGTGTTTAGGGAGAGGGCAGTGTTTATGGAGAGGGCAGTGTTTATGGACAGGGCAGTGTTTATGGACAGGGCAGTGTTTATGGACAGGGCAGTGTTTAGGGAGAGGGCAGTGTTTATGGAGAGGGCAGTGTTTATGGACAGGGCAGTGTTTATGGACAGGGCAGTGTTTATGGACAGGGCAGTGTTTATGGACAGGGCAGTGTTTATGGAGAGGGCAGTGTTTATGGACAGGGCAGTGTTTAGGGAGGGCGCAGTGTTTAGGGAGAGGGCAGTGTTTAGGGAGAGGGCAGTGTTTATGGACAGGGCAGTGTTTAGGGAGAGGGCAGTGTTTATGGACAGGGCAGTGTTTAGGGAGAGGGCAGTGTTTATGGACAGGGCAGTGTTTATGGAGGACGCAGTGTTTATGGACAGGGCAGTATTTAGGGACAGGGCAGTGTTTATGGAGAGGGCAGTGTTTAGGAAGGGGGCAGTGTTTAGGAAGGCGGCAGTGTTTAGGAAGGGGGCAGTGTTTAGGGACAGGGCAGTGTTTATGGACAGGGCAGTGTTTATGGAGGGGGCAGTGTTTATGGAGGGGGCAGTGTTTATGGACAGGGCAGTGTTTATGGAGAGGGCAGTGTTTAGGGAGAGGGCAGTGTTTATGGAGGGGGCAGTGTTTAGGGAGAGGGCAGGATGTGGAGCAGCAGCAGCAGGCGAGGCAGGGTGTGTGGGGTGTGTGGGGTTGGTGGGGCGGCGTGGGGAGGTGCGAAGGCGTTGGGTGATGGTGATGTCCGCGCTGTTGCTGCCTCAGCTGTGTTGACTCGCATCGTCGCTCCCCACCTTCCAGCCCCTCCCCCACCTTCTCCCCATGTAGATCCCGGACAACAGAATCCGGGGTGGATGTGGGCGTGTGAGGAGGGGGGCAGGCGAGGAGGGGGGCAGGCGGGGTCTTCAAGTATCAGTCCCAGGTCCTCGCCTCTCAGTATCTATGGGCAGGGAGGAGGGGGGTGACTGTGAGTACGTGTGTGTGTGTGTGTCAGTGTGAGTGTGTGTCCGTGTGTGTAAACATCGCCACTCGGGAGACAAAGACGGCCGGGCATGGTGCTGGCCACCCACCCCCTTGACTGCCGTGCCGGCCTTCATAGGTGCTCGCTAACAGCACCTGCCCCAAAATCTGTTAAGGCTGTACGGGGGATCTTTGTCTTTGTGTGTGCATACGTGTGAACGTGCGAGTGTGCGTGCGTGTGTGCGGCAAAAAACAACCCTCTACCTCCTCGTGGTGGCGGACTGCAACGTTGTGGTGGGCAGTGCCGTGGGGGGTGGGCCAATTTAGATTGGCCCTTTCCCTTAATGGCGATTGTAACCACCACAGCGACCAAATGGGGGCTCTGGACGGGTGCGAGGGGCTGGTAACCCTCCACCTTCAATACCACTAAACTACGAGGCAAAACATTTATTAAGCTTGTGCCGGAGTCCCCAGGGAGACAGGCGTCTATGACGTCTCATGGCCAAACCCCATTTGGCGGAGCCAGGAGACTGAATCCTTACCCTCGGGGCTCCTCCAGAAACAACAAAAAGCCACTACGGATGGCCACGTGGAATGTTCGAACGCTAACTGTGGAGGAGAGGCTGCCACTCCTCTGTTGGGAGCTGGACCAGTAGCGACAGGCCCACTCTCATAATTTACAGCATCCCATGTCAGAGAATGAGGAGGCTTACCGCAGCCTTCGCTCGGAGGTTCGGAGAGCCGTGAGGCGCTGCAAGGATGGTTGGTGGTCGTGGATTGCTGAGGAGATGGAGTCTGCCTCAATGGCCCGCGATCACAAATCGCTCTTTAATTCCATCAAAAAAGTAACCTTCAGCGCCACACCTATTACCATCATTAGGGGAAAGAACGGACACTCCACCCCCACAACTCCCAATTGGTGATAGGGCAGTTGTGGAGAGAGTGGAGAGTTTTCCGAACCTGGGCAGTGTGCTCATGACTGGCTCCGGTTTGACAACAGAGGTCTCACTCCGAATCAGTCGAGCGACATTATCTTTTCATCAGTTGCGTAACGCTGTGTGGAAGCTACCTGATCTGCCACTCCACACGAAGCTTCAGGTCTTCTTGGCCACAGTCATTCCCTCCCTTCTCTACGCTGGCGAAACATGGACCCCCCTAATGGAACATCTTCGCCGGTTAGAAACATTTAGGCTGGCCTGCCTATGATCCATGCTGGGTTTAACCAGGCTGGATTGTGTGAGGAGCTCACATATTCTTGAAAGATCTGGACAAAGTCCCATCGGTGAGCTCCTCCGGCAGGCAAGGCTGCGTTGGCGTAATCCGACTCGCGCACCGCATGTGTGGGGGGAGACATGGGAAGCTGGCTGGGTCATGTAGCCCGCATGCCCAGCCACCGCATGCCTAAACAGCTTTTGTTCGGCCGGATCAAGGGGGCTAAACGGGCACGGCACGGGCTAGAGAAGAGATGGAGTGATGTGGTAGAGGAGGATGTGGAGCTGAGTGGACTTGCCGATGACTGGTACCAGCAGTGTCAAAATCGGCCTCTGTGGAGGAGGCTTGTGAAGGACGCTACTGGGCAACGGAAGAGAGACGCTCACAACAACGAGCGGAGCACCGGGTGGCTAAAGCACAGCAAGTTGGCACAGTACGGGCACAGGTGGTGCATCGGCCAGTCATCTCAGTCAGTTGACCCGTGGCACATGGGTCTGCCCCGTGACCTCCTGCCAGCGGGCGTTCGACACTTGACGTGGCCTCAACGTGCACATAGCCTGGCACAAGCATCGTGTTGACGTCACTGCCACTTAGTGGCGGACGGCGGTTGTTATTGGGTGTGTGTGTGCTCGCTAACAACGCTTGCCGCTACAGTCTGTTAAGGCTATACGGGGGATCTTTGTCTTTGTGTACGTGTGCGTGTGTGTGCGTGTGTGTGTATGCGTGTGTGCGTGTGTGTGTGCGTTTGTGCGTGTGTGTGTGTGTGCGTGTGTGTGCAGACTCTTACGGGGAGATGCGGCAGTTGGTGGCCGACGCGAACCTCCCCGTGTAGCGCACGTCGCAGCGCACGATGTTGTTGGAGTAGTCCGACTCGCGCACCTTGTAGTTGGGGTTCACGTGCAGCTGTGGGGCACACACACACACACAGATAAAGACCTCCCCCCCCCCGCGTGTTATCGCCTTAACAGACTTTTGAGGCGAATACAAACCACAAAACTATTTTTTTATTTTACCAGGTGAGGCCCACTGAGCTATAAAGTTTTCTTTGCAAATGATAGCTAAACAAAGTGGCTTCTTATCGTGTGTTAATGTACAGCACCCAAATAAAATGTTTCTAAATGTGGAGGGAAAAACCAGAGCACCCAGAGAAAAACCCTACGTGATCACGCGGAGAATTTGCAAACTCCAAATATACAGCAGGTGTCAGGGTTGGGATCGAACCCACGACCTCCTGTATTACCAAGGCGAGGCAGTTAGTGCAGTTAGTAGCGAGCACACACGAAGGCCGGCACAACACACAAGATAGGTGGCCAGTACCATACCCGGCCGCCTTTGTCTCCCCAGTGAGTATGTTTACACATAACACTAGGTATATTCATGTGAGGCTGAGTTCAGATAATCGTCACTGGTGTTGGCTGTGAGCGGGAATATAATTTTGGTCGCCGGGTTCCTTGCGCAGCGCGCTAACCGCTGCACCACCGCTCACACGCAAGCTTCACCCCCTGCAGCCTCCACAGGCTGTCGGGGCGAGCGCTGTCGGCCGCCACGGGCGCAGCTACAAGTGGCACGGGTGTGGCCAGAGCCCCGCCGCGTGGCCGTCACGCTCCCCTCGCCTTGCGTAGCCTGGCGAGCAATGGCCGTGTGGCTTGTTCGGCATGAACTCAAGGAGACAAATAACCCCACGCCACCCCCGAACGCAACTTTCACCCCCCGCCCATCGCCGCCCCTCCCCTACGGGCCCCTGGCGCAATGACACTGCCGCCGCAGCCCATGTCACGCGGCTCAATGCGGTGGAAAGATTTGCAAACCTCAGCGGTGTCCTCTGCAGATCAGCGGTAAGATAGAAGCACAGCCCCTGCAATTGCCCGCTCACACCTCTGCTGGCGGAAGAGGCCTCCGCTTTGAGGAAACTCCAGAGAGCCCCTCTAGAGGAGGGCATTTGGCCAATTATTCGTACGCCACCTTGCTGGCTAGATGCCTTAGAGGAAGTGCCCACACTTGTACCCACTGCACGTGACCTGCTGATTGAATTAATTGTGGAGGACCTGTTGATACTGCTCAGTGAATAGAGGTGTGTGGGGGGGGGATTTTATAAACTTTCTCTCATTATGACTTATGACTCTTTTTCAGGAGGGTCCTGCCAGGCTTGTCACAGTAGGGGTGCGACGTTGTATGTGTGCGTGTTGAACTTCTTTCGCACCGTACGTAGCTAGCCGCGCTGCTGCTGCTGTCTGTAATCCCATTCGAGTAATTTTCAGATAAATGTTTTCAGTGTTGCGGATGTTTTTCCCAATACCAGTAACCTTGCGTGGGGTTTGTTTCAAGCTCTGGAAGGAAACTGGAGCACCAGGAGGAACTCCACGCAGAACAGAGCTAGTGGACATCTGTGAAACTACTGGACATCTGTGAAAAATATTTTTTTCGCTCATCGAATTCCTCCAGTATGACTAAAATAGATTCTAAACAGAGGGAGAGAACATACAAACGCTAGGCAGAAAAGCGCCCGAGGTGGGAATCGAACCCAGACTCTTTTCGCTGTGAGGCGCGAGCATTACAACCGCGCCACCACTCCCCCACTGCCACCAAACGGGACGTCTCCCCCGCTGCACGTTGACAAAGCCCGCCGACGTCATCCGCTCGCTCGGCCAGGAATCCCGTGTGCAGAGCTGCAGTTTCATTACGGCTTGTGATGTTGAAGTTTATTTTGTTGAACCAAGAGAGAGCGGAGGGGGGGGGATAATTGCATTTACTTTGCGACAGTGAGCTCACACGGCTTTGCTCTACGGGTCTCCGCGAGTGTGTGTAGGCGGTGCAACTGCGCCAGGGCACATGGGCCAGGGTGGCTCGGGTGCCCAGGCTACAGAGCAAGCGGGGGGGGGGGGGGATTCTATAGCGAGAGGCAGGAGTCCCACGCCAACCACGCTACACACACACGCGCGTAAACCCACATACACTCACACCTCGCAAACATATAGACACAGACACTCAACAAAGTCAAACTCCCCCCCCCGCCCCCCCATAGCCTTTGACAGACTCTTGGGGCAAGTGCCGTTAGCGAGCAACTATGAATCGAGAGGGTGGGTGGCACCACGATGTCCCGGCCACCATTGTCTGTCCAGTGCTAATGTTTACACACCGCACCTGGAACTCATTTATGGCGGAATCGATCTCGGGGAGGGGCCCAGGACCAGTTCAGATATTTGTCGCTGATGGTTGGCCGTGAGAGGGAATCGGCCAGATTTGCAGCGAAGCGCGCTAACCACTGCACCGCCGCTTCTCCATAAGCCGCACACACACAAAGACAAACATCCCCGTATAGCCTTAACAGACTGTAGAGGCAAGTGCTGTTAGCAAGTAGCATCTATGAAGGCCGGAACGGTACACGACGGGGTGCATGGCCAGCACCATGCCCAACCGCCTTTGTCTCCCCAGTGGCGATGTTTACACACCGCACCAGGTACTCATTTGAGGCTGAGTCAACCTAGAGGAAACCCAGGACCGGTTCAGATAATCGTCACTGGTGTTGGCCGTGAGCGGGAATCGAACCCGGGTCGCCGGGTTCATAGCGCAGCGCGCTAACCGCTACACTACCGCTCCCCACACACACACACGCAGGCCTACACACACATGCACGCGTGCACGCACACGCACTGAAGCCTACATACAGACGCACGCGTGCACACTGCCATGCACCAACCGAGCGCCCCACATCGCCAACCGTGCTCTCCTACGCCACCGCTCCTGGACTCTGTGCAGACACCGCACATCATCCCACAGCTTCCAGCATCATTCCTCCCGCACCGGCCGCATCCGCCGCACTGCGGGCGTTCTCACTGGCAGCGCCCGTGCACAGCAGCCCCCCGACAGCACCGAGCACCATCCCCTGCTGCTCTTACACTGGGTTGGACAGGTTGTCAACCCTGGGATGACTCGATTGCCCGAGCAGGTTAATCGCACGCAAGTTCTAATCGGCCACGTCTGTGGTGGTTCGTCAACTCCCATCGCTAGCGGCGGCCGGCCCTGACGATCGCGCCTCGCGAAGGCTGGAAACCCCCCCCCCCCCTACGCGGCTGCCGATGTAACGGTACTGGCACGCGTGGGCACGTGAAAGCGGAGCGGGGGCGGGAAGGGGGGGCGTGTGTGGGAGAGACATGGGGAAGCCAGAGGGAGCCGGAGGCAGTAAGCGACTGTAGGGGCAGATTGACGAGTAGCAGAGGGGAGCAAGGAGGATCAGGGGGATAGCAGAGGGGAGCAGGGGTTGTACGTGGAAGCAAGGGGGATCGGGTGGTGGTCAAGGGGGAGCAGGGAGAGGCAATGGGAGCAGGCGGGGATCTGGGGGAGCAGGGGCGGCCGCTCACCCTGAGCACGTAGTTCCCGGGCCGCACGTCGGTGATGTCGATCCACTGGCAGTCGATGTCGGCGTTGTAGGTGTCGTAGCAGCCGGGGCTCAGACCCTGGGGCAGGGAGACACGGGGGAGAGGAGACCACACACGGAGATATGAAGAGAGAGATACAGAGAGATAAACAACGAGCACGATTCACCAATGAGCACCACCTATGCTCCACACTTTGCCAACTCGCTGCATTGTAGCCACCCGGCGCTCCGCTCGTTGTTGTGAGCATCGCTCCTCTGCTCTCCGTTGTTGTTGGAGGGCGACTGCCTCCAAATGCCCAGTAGTGTCCTTTCAGAGCCTCCTCCATAGAGTCCAATCTTGACACCGCTGGTACCGGTCATCAATGCTATTCTGTAGCCCATGCCATGTCCATTTAGCCTCCTCTATCTGGTCAAACAGAAGCTTATTGGGCATGTGGAGGCTGTGCATGCGGGCTCCAGAACCCAGCCAACGTAGCCTCGCCTGCGGGAGGAGCTCATTGATGGGACTGTGTCCAGTTTTTTCGTGGATTTGGGAGCTCCTCACACAATCCAATCTGGTTAAACCCAGGGAGGATCAGAGGCAGGCGAGCCTGACTCTTTCAAGTCAAGGGGTCCAGGTATTCCCAAGCATAGAGAAGGGAGGGCTTAACTGTGGCAGATAGGACATGGAGCTGTGTGTGAAGAGATCGGTCAGGTAGCTTCCACGCAGCGTTACGCAACGGATGAAAATGTTATTCCGCTTAAATTGATTCAAAATTAAACCGATGTTGCTAAACCAGAGCTGGTTATAAGCACACTGCCTAGGTAAGGTAACTCCTCCACTCTGCCCACATCGGCACCATTTCCCTGTTTCAACAAAGACCCCGGAAAGCCTGAAGGACAACACGGCACACCAGAGGGTGGGTGGGCACCATCACACCCGTCCACCTTAGTTTCCCGAGTGCTCATGTTTACAACCCACACCAGGTACTCATTTCAGGCTGAGTGGACCTAGGGGAGGTTCAATTATTTGTCAACAATGCTGGCCATGAGTGGCAATCGAAATCGCGATGCTAGGTTTGTAGCGCAATTTTCTAATCATTGCGCACGCGTGCACGCATGTGCCAGAGGCCACAGCGGGCGGCAGATGGCCGGCGGGTCACCTGCGTGTGCGCCGTGCAGGCGTAGCGCTTGCGGTAGCCGTAGTCGCAGGTCGTGTCCTCCAGGCAGAAGCTGGCCTTGTGGCCCTCCGCCACCTTGCGGCCCGAGCCGGCCTCCAGCAGGTTGTAGTGGCTGAACTCGTCCATGCTGTGGAAGTGTCTGTGGTGGGGTGTGGGGGGAGGGGGGCGTGGGGGGAGTCGGTGAAATATGGGGAGCGGTATGGTGACGGGTGTGGTTGACACGTGATGAGGTGTGTGGTGACGTGTGTGGTGACGTGTGTGGTGAGGCGTGGTCAGGGTGTGGTGAGGTGTGTGGTGACGTGTGTGGTGAGATGTGGTCAGGGCGTGGTGAGGTGTGTGGTGAGGTGTGTGGTGAGATGTGTGGTGAGGTGTGTGGTGAGGCGTGGTCAGGGTGTGGTGAGGTGTGTGGTGACGTGTGTGGTGAGATGTGGTGAGGTGTGTGGTGAGGTGTGTGGTGAGGTGTGTGGTGAGATGTGTGGTGACGTGTGTGGTGAGGTGTGTGGTGAGGTGTGTGGTGAGGCGTGGTCAGGGCGTGGTGAGGGGTGTGGTGAGGTGTGTGGTGAGGTGTGTGGTGAGGTGTGGTCAGGGCGTGGTGAGGTGTGTGGTGAGGTGTGTGGTGAGGTGTGGTCAGGGCGTGGTGAGGTGTGTGGTGAGGTGTGTGGTGAGGTGTGGTCAGGGCGTGGTGAGGTGTGTGGTGAGGTGTGTGGTGACGTGTGTGGTGAGATGTGGTCAGGGCGTGGTGAGGGGTGTGGTGGGAATTGCGGTTGGTGTTATTGGGTGAGATGGGGCGCTCGCAAGGAAATGCTGAGGCGTGGTGAGTTGCGGTGAAGTAGTTAGGGTTGCCACCTCTCAAAAACACCGGCGCCTGTCATAAGCAGAGGAAGAATATCTCACACTAGCGGAGAAGAGAGCGTGAATGCAATGTCTGGAGTGACGTACCACCACCACCGTCACTGCCACCGTCATCGTTATCGTTAAGAAATCTACACAAACTGGGACTTTCGACGTCCTCGGAAGAGTTATAGATTTCCTCGGATGGCAGTGGCAGCGGCAGCAGCGACCAATCTCAACAAGAGGGCGATCCTGGGAAAATCAGGACAGGTGGTAACCCTATGAGGAAGGAGGCGTGTTGAGGTATTGGTGAGGTGTGGTCTGTTATTGGTTAAATATGGTGAGTTGCTGCCCTCACTGGTAGCATGCGTGTGTAGGTGGAGTGAGGTACTGGTGAGGTACTGGCGACATGGTGAGGCAAGCGTGATATTTGTTGGCGTCCTGGATAACTGGTGAGGTAGCGGCAGTATTGAAATTCAGCCGGAACAGTCCCGAATGTTGTTGGGAAATTACTCAAACGCGCCACATCAACCTCACCTTATTTTGTCCTAAACCTGTTCACGGGATTATAGATTAATGTAGGGTGCAATAATAAAGGGTTACTATGGAAAGCTGCACCCAATACTCTAGCGGCAGTGTCTTTCGCTAATAATCCCAACTTCCAGCCTGCCCAGTAGCGTCCCGGAAACTACTGGGCGAGAAACTAAGGACAAAAATATTTGGTGAGGTGAGGTGCGGTGAGGAGTGGTGGAGCTTGGAGAGGTTACGTTTTTGGTGAAGTATGGGGAATGAGGCTGTGCCCTCGCTGATGGCACGCATGAGGTGTTCATATGAATTGGTGAGGCGTGACGTGGTGAGGTCTCATGTTAGTTCAGTATGGTGAGTAGGCTGCTACGATTCCTGGCGGCACGTGCGAGTTATGTGTGTGTGGTGCGCTGCGGTGTTGTGGCATGTGTGGTGAGTTATCGCTGTGGCAGGGTACTGGCAAGGCATGGCGAGGTATTGGTGGGGCACGATACATGATCTGTGAAGTATGGCTGTGCGCCGCACTCACTGACGGCACGCGTGAAGGAGAGTATGTGCGTGTGCGTGTGGTGTGCTGCTGTGGGGAGAGGGAGTGTAGCGGTTAGCGCGCTGGACTATTAACCCGGCGATCTGGGTTCGATTCCCGCTCATGGCCAACACCAATGACGATTATCTGAATCGGTCCTGGGGGGCCCCGAGGACGACTCAGCCTCAATGAGTACCTGGTGCGGTGTGTAAAATCATCGCCACTGGGGAGACAAAGGCGGCCGGGCGATGTGCAGGCCACCCACCCCCTCGTGTGCGGTTCCAGCCTTCATAGGTGCTCGCTAACAGCACTTGCCTCAACAGTCTGTTAAGGCTACACGGGAGATCTTTGTCTGTGCTGTCGTGTAGTGGTGGGGTTTCTGGCACGGCGCGGCGCACGATTGTCGGAGTGCGGCTCACTGGTGGCACGCGTGCCACTCCCACGCCTCGCGCGGGCGGCTGGGCAGGAAGTCGGCGGTGCCCTGGTTCTTCACTTTCTGCGGGAAGCGCAGGAGGACACGCACGTCGTAGTCAGCCGCCTCGGGGCGGTACGCCGTGCTGGGGGGGGGGGGGCGGGGGGGGAACAAGGAGAGAGGATATACGGTAGGAGGAAGGAACTGGGGAGAGATGGTGGGAGCAGGAAGAGGGGAAGAGCAGGGAAGAGGGTGAGAGTTGAGAAGCAGGTGGGAGCGGGGAAAGACGGAGTGGGGGGAAAGGGGAGAGGGAAGGAGGTGGGAGAGGGTCAACAGGGAGAGCGGGGGAGCAGGTGGGAGACGCGCTGTCAGTGAGTGTCCCTTGTCGGGTTTCCCCCCCAGACCCCCAACCATTTCCTCCCCCCTCACCCTCCTTCTCCCCTCACCTGGCCAGGCATTTCTCCTCGGCGGCGCAGCGCAGGGAGTAGAGGTGAGCGCGCTGGATGTAGGTGGACACCTGGATGTAGTAGGGGTCCGGGACCAGGTCAGGCAGAGCTAGGGGGGCACGGGGTCATTGGGTCACAAAGGGCACGGGGTCACGAAGGGCACGGGGTCACGAAGGGCACGGACACGGTCTCCGTGACAGGCAGATTTAGGCGAGCACAAGGATGCCCAAACCCCCCGTATGAACCCTTTGCCCAGACCCCGCAACGTGACCCCTCTCATCAAGGGGGTACGTACCTATGCAGATCCTTACGAGGAAACCCCCTGCCTGTACTTCCTGTACAGAATCCACAAACCGAAACGGACCCCTTTCCAGACCTTTTATAACTAACACTGCCTCCTATCTCGGCCACTGACTCCTCTCCTATCTCAACCATTGACTCCCTATCCTTACCACCGACTCTTATACGTAACTCTTGTAATTCCTGTCTGTAACACTGCCTCCTATCTCTACCACGGACGCCCATCCCTAACGCTTTCTCTTACCCCTCACACTGTCTTCTCAATCTCTAGCACTGACCCCCATCCCGAACACGGTTTCCTAACGCTGACTCATATCCCTACACAGGGACCCATTTGCGCAAACAACTCCCCTTACACGGACACGTGGATACTCTGCAGCAGGACCCCCTTGCGCGTGCCCCCGCACAAGCATCGCGAGTTCGTGTTTTGGGGTGGGGGTGGAGGATGGGGGGACATCGAAGACGTCATTAGGGGGCACAAGAGTGGACGTCAAACTCTAAACAGATGTTAATGGCATAAACAAGCAGGCAACTCCGACTCCCTCCCCATAACTGTGTTTTCCACATAACGAAAAAACATATATACTGGACATCTGTGAAAAAGAGCTTTCATAATAAACGTTTTTTGGTTATTTATAAAATAACGCGATCTAATTCAAAAACGTTTATTATGAATAATATTGGTCGCGAAAGCCGACGTGTTAAAAAGAGCTTTGTTGCTCATCAGATTCCTCCAGTATAAATATTAATTCTGATAAATATACAAGTATTTATTTTACACATCCCATAAGTCGCCACGGCATTCTGTACTGGCAGTGATTTTTTTTTCGTTTGAGCACCAATTGGTTCAACACAAAGCACCAACAATAAAAACCCCTACTCTGAACCAGTCTCGACATTCGGCCGGTGTCTCTCATCAGCAGAAGAAGTCAAGCCCTCGCTTGAGCCGCAATGCTGGTGTACTGTCGCCACAGACGACTGCGTTTGCACACCGAGAGAAGCCTCTCTCGAACGAACGACGCCGTGCTATCCAAACCGCTAAGGCCAGGATGAGTCACGGAGCGAGATGCGATGTTGTCCGTCTTGCGTTCTGTTCGAGCGCACAGCCCCCGTGGTGCAAAACGAGCAAAGGGCCGTAACACGCGCCAGGTGAGGGTACCCACCACGTTTTGCCCCACCGAGCCCATTCACACTGCTGAGGCCGGACAGAGACGGTGGGGCGGGAGGGATAATAAAAACTAAATAAAAACAAAATACAACTGCCGCCACCATTGTTTCAAATGCCGCGCCCGGAGATTGAGTTGAACAGGTGACCTCTGGACGTTGTAAGTCCAGTTTGTTGCTGACCATTACACTATTGTACCACCACTGTGGCAGCAGCCTTCGTTTCGCAGCCATGGTATGCTTAACTGTATGTCTCTAGACATATCTGTTGTATAGCGCAGCAAACCGGTAATCGGCATTTACCGGTTTTCATTCCGTCGCTGGTCGTGCAAAAAACACGATTTTTGTCGAATTCGGAAATAAAACCCCGCAATATTTCAAGAGCCGCAATTCACTGTGGTCAATGCGAGACGGTGGGGTCCTTGATTCACAACGTCGTGAAGTCGTCCTTGAAGAGCCACACGCGGCTCCAGAGATGTAGGTTGTCGACCCCTACCCTAGACTATGAGAACCCTAGACTATACCAACTCTAGACTATAGAACAATACCGAAAGACCCAAAGAATATGGGAACAATCAATGGCGGAGCCAGGATTTTCAGGTAGGGGGGGCAACCCCTCTAACAATGAAAACTGATATAGGAGTTGTTAGTAAGTAAGGACTTGTTAGTAAGTAAGGACTTGTTAGTAAGGACTTGTCCCTTGATTTTTATTCGACGCGTGTGCGTCGATGGCGCAGCCATCGAGCGAGGGTTGAATTCGAACCGCGTCGTGTGATCGGCATCGCGCTCGCTGAAGGTTTTGATGCCTTCAGGGAAGTCGTGTGCTGTTTACGCAACTGCGCACAATTTTGTTAGTCCCTTATAACCGCTTTGCCGTTACTTATCGCCAATTATGGACTCAGACTATCATCTCATAGAGTCCCTGGCACGTAATAATATGCTACACAGTGGCAGTGGGGGGCGCAAAATGCCGATTTATTACTAATAACCCCCAATGATCCGATCGAAATTAGGGATTTCGATCGGATCATTGGGGGTGGGGGCACGTGCCACCCCCCCTGGCACTGCCAGTGGGAACAATAAACTATAAGAACCATAGACTATAAGACCAATACACTATAAGAACCATAAACCATAAGACCTCCCGACGACAAGAATGTCATAGGGGCAATACAGCTACGCAGCGTGTGCTGCGTAGCTGCCCGATATGTTTCCGTCTGTTGTTCGGAACGATTCCCGAACGTTGAAATTCAGTTCCTGAAGAAGTTTACCCGGCACGTGCAGCGGAACGTCAGACGTCGTGGCGAACAACCCGACAAACACATCGGATAATTGAGCAGAGGGGAGTTGTGGTGGGGGGGGGGGAGTTCAGCATTCAGCAATGGTTGTGAGTCTGGGGACAGCCCCCCTCGGGGTTAATTTCTAAAAACCCCTACACAGACCCCCTTAGAACCCCTACGCAGACCCCGTTGACTTAGAACCCCTACACAACCCACCTGACTTAGAACCCCCTACACCAACCCCTGCAAGTTCCCCGTAACACCCCTCCCGCCCCCCCCGTCCCCCTCCCCCCCACACAGGTAAACTTCTTACGGGTTCTCTGCGGGGTCCGGGGCGGCACGCGGTTGCTGAGGAAGGGCGGGTAGGGGTTCCTGTAGTAGGGTTCTCCTCGTGGCGGTACGTGTTGGAGTTGGGGTCATCCCCCACGCCCTGACCGGCTCGTGTCCCCTCGGGGACCCCCTGCACCCTCGGCATCCCCCCTTGCTGCTGTCTCCCAGTCATCCCGTCCTGTATGGCCACGGATGCCGGCGTCTCGGCGGGTCTCGCGTTGCGGGGCGGTGCAGGCGCCGGGGCCGTGGCTGCTGCTGCTACTGAAGCTGCTGCAGCTGAAGCTGCTGCAGCTGCTGAGGTTGTGGCCGTCTGGGTCCGGGGCGCGGCGAGCGGTGCGGCCACGGGTCGGGGTGCGGCCACTTGGGGTCGCGGGGGGGCCACTTGGGGTCGCGGCGGGGCCACTTGAGGTCGAGGTGCAGCCACTTGGGGTCGCGGCGCGGCCGGGGCAGACGCGTGGGGTCGTGCGGTCGCCCATGAGCCAGAGTTGGTCTGCCACCAGTAGCTGCTGCTGCTGCCGCCACCGCCGCCACCACCAGTTCTTCTGGTCTGTGTCACTGGGCTGGGTCGAGGGGCAGAGGGGGTCTGCCTGCGTCCCTGTCCACGGGCCCCGTTTGACCCCTGCTGCTGCTGTCGACGCTGCTGCTGTAGCTGCTGCTGCCCCTGCTGCAGCTGCGGCTGCCCCGGCTGCTGCCCCCCCGCTCCCAGCCAGAATGTGTTGCGGCCCTGGTTGTGGGCGCTGCTGCTGCCCCCGGGCAGGTACTCGGGCCCCGAGTTGAGGAGGCTGTACACCTGCCCGTTGTTCTCCCACTGGATCAGCTGCCTCCACACCTCGCCCGGCCGCCGGGGGCCCCCCGCGGAGGGGGACACGGGGGTCTGGGCCCCCACCGGAGGGGCCCGCAGCAGCGCGGCGGCCACCAGCACCCACCAGAGCCCCAGGGTCTTCATCAGCACGAGCGGCGACGACGACGGGGATGTTGAGGAGAGTGGAGAGGCGTGTGGTGGTGAGTGTGAAGCGGTGAGTGGTGAGGTTGAGTAGAGTGGAGAAGCGGGCGATGTTGAGGAGTGCGATGAGGTGCGTGGTGGTTTCAGTGATGATGAAGAGGTGCGTCGTGGTGCTGATGAAGTCAGTGGAGAAGTGCGTGGTGGTGGTGGTGGTGTTGAGGTGAGTGATGAGGTGATTGCCGGTAAGGTGAGTGAAGAGGTGGGTGGGGGAGTCCCGCTCATCGCTGCGTCACTCGCTCCGCGTGTCTCTCCCTCTCAAGTCGCGCACTGTGCCTCCTCCGCTTCCTCCTCCTCTCTTCTTCTCGCTCCTCCTCTACCCGAACCGAACTCCGCGCCGCTCCAGCCTCTAGCTCCTTAATAAACCCCGGCGCGGCCCCTCGCATCCCTCCTCCTCCTCCCTCCACAACCTTCCACGCCTCCTCCTCCTCCACCTCCTCCCTCCACAACCTTCCACGCACCGCCTCCCCGTCACCTCTCCACATCCTCCGCAAGCACCCCCCCCCCATCACTTGCCACCTTCATCACCTGCGCCAGATCATAGCATCTCGCATCACCTGCGCCATCACGTCAACTAAATATAAAAATTTCGATTTAAAGCTTTCGTGACTGCAGGGATTCATCTTCTTGGTTCTTTCGGTAAAGTCACGTAGAATGGAAATAATAAAATAAGAAAAATAAAACGTCGTGATAATTATGTTATGTTTTATTTGTATTATTTTATTATTTCCATTCTACGTGACTTTACCGAAAGAACCAAGCAGATAAATATTTAAATATTAAAAAATGTGTCACCAGGAAAGGTCCACTCAGTTTGTAGATATTTTTCAGAAGCGACCTGGTCGCAAATGATAGATCAAGAAAGAAACTTATCGCGTGGAAATTCATCGCAGCCAAATGCTCTAAACGCATGTTGATGAATGTGGAGGGGGAACAAACCCCCAGGGCCTCGACACACGAGGAGAGAAACACAAAATACGCGGCAGGCGTCAGGGTCGGGATCGAACCCACGAACTCCTTGTACACCAAGCGAGGAATTCTTGGGTCTTTCGGTAAAGTCACGTAGATAGGTTCAAAGAAAAGAACAAAAAAATAACAAAAAAAACTAGGACGTTTCGTCGTTTTTGTTATTTTTTTATGAATTCCTGCAGTCACGAAAGCTTTAAGTCAAGATTCGCGCGAGTTAGTGAACGTCTCCCATCAATGTCGCCCATGGCAGACGTCTAGTGACCTCCTCCTCCTCCTCGCCTTGAGCCCCCCGCGCCCTCCCTCAGCTCCCCCCACCGACTCGACATCGCCTCCCGCCGGGACCACCGCAGGGTCCATCCCAACATCGCCCCCACGGTCACCCACCACCGCCTCACCCTCACCAGCCTCACTCATCCCCCTCACCCCACCAGCCTCACTCAACCCCCTCCCCCCCCCCACCTCCCCTCACCCCCCTCACCCCGCCACCCTCACTCACCCCCCTCACTCACCCCCTCACCGCCCCTCACCGCCTCACCCCACCACCCTCACTCAACACCCCCCCTCACCCCACCACCTCCCCTCACCCCCCTCACCGCCTCACCCCGCCACCCTCACTCACCCCCTTCACCGCCTCACCCCCCTCACCCCCCCTCACCGCCTCACCCCACCACCACCCTCACCCCCCCTCACAGCCTCACCCCACCACCACCCTCACTCACTCACCCACCCCACCCACCCCCAGTGGCGATGACATTAAACCCGCTAAGTCAATGTTTCCCTCAGCTCCGCGCTGCTTTGGATGGCTCACGGGGGAGTCGCTTCAACGGAGTTTATGTAACAACGCCCCTGATCCCCCCCCCCCCTGATCCCCTCCTGATCCCCTCGTGATCCCCTCACTACCTCACGATTCACTACTGATCCCCTCACTACCTCACGATTCACTACTGACCCCATCCCCATGATCCTCTCAACCCCTGCTGCACTCCCTTGTGAACCCCAGACGTCACCCACGACCCCCCTTACTTCGTGATTCCTTGACGTCTCTCATGATCCCCGATGACTCCCCTCACTTTTTGTCTCGTGCCTCTCCTCACGATCCATTATCATGTCTTCACTCCCCCCCCCATGATCCCCTCGCTCCTCAGAGATCCCCTCACTATCATCACCCAATGACTTCACTCATGATCCCCCATCATTACCCCCCTAACTCCACTCATTACCCCCCTAACTTCACTCATGATCCCCCATCATTACCCCCCTAACTCCACTCATTACCCCCCTAACTCTCCTCGTGACCCCCGATGTGGCGGTGTGCAGCACGGCTGGCCAGGGTCCCCTGCTCCCCCGAGTGGGATGAATCACACCTCCCCGTGTCCCCTGCTCCCCCCTCACCACCGCCTCCGTATCTCTGCCTCCCCACAAGTGGCAGCAGCAGCAGCAGCTCTCTCCCTGCTCCCTTCTCCCCGCAGCACACAGCAGCACAGCACAGTGCAGCCTTTGTTGTTGTTGTTGCTGCTGCTGCCGGGCACGTGGCGCGGAGTTCCGCCATCACTGCCAGCGCTGTCCGCACGTCCCCCCCCCCCCCCACAACTCGCCTCCACCGTCTTCACAGAGGCGACCTTAACGTCTCCCACGCCTGCCCCCCTCTCGCTGCCTCACTCTGCCGGGCCCCCCACTCCGTGCCGGGCCCCCCACTCTACTTCGTTATCCGCTTCGGCTCCATCCCATCATCGTCCCAGCCCAACCTCCCCGCCGTGCCGCTCCACACAGCCGGGTCGGGCCACCCGGGACGCGGCCACGATTTCTAGGAAAGTGCGGAAAAAGCCTGGGCCTACGGGCGGGGGTCCCCAATATGATTTTTAAATGACATCTTGATTTGAAGCTTTCGTGGCTGTGGTGAAGTTACGAGCGAGGGCGAGTGTGTGATTGTATATATGTGTGTTTGTATGTGTGTGTTTGTAGGCCAACACCAGTGACGATTATCTGAACCGGTCCCGGGCCTCCCCTAGGTCGACTCAGCCTAAAATGAGTACCTAGTGCGATGTGTAAACATCGCCGCTAGGGAGACAAAGGCGGCCGGGCGTGGTGTTGGCCACCCACCCCTTCGTGTGCCGTGCCGGCCTTCATAGGTGCTCGCTAACAGCACTTGCCCCAACAGTCTGTTAAGGCTACACGGGGGACATTTGTCTTTGTATTTGTGTGAAGGATTAAAGAGCGCAGCCCTGCAATTGCTCGCTCACGCCACTGCTGGCGGAAGGCGCCTCCCGCTCGAGGCAGCTCTGTCGAGAGAGGGTCGTTTGGCCTACTCTTCCCACGTCTTGGGGGATGTGGCAGTACTCACACTTTACCCCACCACATACCACGACTAACTCAGGGAACTTGTTTTATACTGCTGCATGGATAGAGGCGGGGGGGGGGGGGTAATAAAGGTGCACAAATGTTTCCACTGCCGCGCAGGGAGATCGAATCAACATCAGCGACCTCTGACCTGCATGTGTCCGAGTGTGGAGGGAGCGAGTTCGACTCCTGCTCACGGCCAACCCCAGTGACGATTATCTCAATCGGTCCAGAGCCTCCCCTAGGTCGACTCAGCCTCAAATGAGGACCAGGTGCGGTGTGTAAACATCGCCACTGGGGAGACAAAGGCGGCCGGGCGTGGTTGCTGGCCACCCACCCCCTCGTGTGTCGTGCCGGCCTTCATAGGTGCTCGCTAACAGCACTTGCCCCAACAGTCTGTGCAGGCTACACGGGGGATCTTTGTCTCTGGTACAAGGTGGGGGAGCGGTGGTGTAGCGGTTAGCGCTGCGCTGCGCTACAAACTCGACTTCGATTCCTGCTCACGGCCAACATCATTGACGATTATCTCAACGGGTCATGGGCCTCCCCTAGGTCGACTCGGCCCCAAATGTAGTACCTGGTGCGGTGTAGTAAACATCGCCACGCGGGAGACAAAGACGGCCGGGCCAACATTTGTTTTGCTGGCTTACCCCTCCCCACCCCACACCCCCTCGTGGTCCGCACCGGCCTTGCATGGCTGCTCTCGAACAAAAGTTGCCCCCCCGAAAAAGTCTGCTGAGCCCATAATGGGGGGCCTTTGTCTGACGCCCGTGTGCGCGTGCGGCACGTGTCGTGCCGGCACGCGCGGCTGGCCCTGGTGAACACGACGCCGATGCCTCCCCGCCACGCGGTTACACCACAGGGCGACCCGCGCAGTCGTCCCCCCCCTTCCCCCCCACACTGGGCGCCTCTGTGCCGCGTTCTCGGGCCGCGCCCAAGCAACTCCACCACCACCCCCCCCCCCCCCTGTTAGCCGCCGCGCTCAGTGCGTGTTAGGGGCCGTCCATAAATGACGTCACGCGATTTTGGAGGATTTTTGACCCCCCCCCCCTTCGTCACAGGGCGTCACAAAAAGTCAGACCCCCCAAATATGACGTCACAAAGCTCTGCCCCCCCCCTCCTTCCAAAGAAAATAAAACATGCTTCAAATCGCTCTAGTGCGTATTTAATGTGGCGCTGCACTCTGATGTTGTAGGAGAAAACATAAAAAAAGTTTATTTAAGTAGAATGTGTTGTCTATATTTATTTAAAGTTGCGCATTTTTATGTGACTTCACATTTCTCACCCCCCCCCTCGTCACACATAGTCACAAATGTCTGACCCCCCCCCCCCTAGGTGCGTGACGTAATTTATGGACGGCCCCTTACAATGCGCTAACTCAACACATCACGTGTTAATTAGGACTGTATCAATTCGCCACTTGAAATGGTAATTCATCATCGAACGGCTTCGTCTTCAGGATCAAATCCACTGCTTGACGAAGGCGTTCCGCTCCAAGCAGCTGCTATGCGTGTCTCACGGCCGTGCGGATGGTAACGGTCCATGCGAGTTGATTTCATCGGATCCATCTCCTCGGTGGCTGAGCCAATGTGGACGCGTTCCATCTGTTGGCTGCCACTCCCGTCGTTGTTCTCATGGCCGTCCGGGGAAATTGAGTTTTCAGGTCCATACGGCGTACATCCGTTTCAATACGGTCACATTTTGTGTGTGTCTATGTGTGTGTTCTCCCTTGTGATGGGGACTTTGTAGGATAACGTTGAGATGTATAAGGGTCACGCGGGGACGAATCAGGTCTGAATTGGTCTGTAATAAGGAAGGCACTGATAAGGAGTTGACAGGTTTGTGTTCTGGACCGTCGGCCATCAACCCCCTCCCGAGATGAGTTCCACCGAGAAGACGAAGCGATGAAATCAGCTCGTGTAGAGGCAGCTTCTGGAGTGAGATGCCTCCCTATTGTACTATGTGGGGTTAACTTCTTTCGCACCGTACGTAGCCAACCGCGGGGGAAGGACAACAAACTAAACACAAACATCGGTTCTATTGGCAGGAGGACAATTGCCCGAAACGTCGACTCATACGTTTCCTTTGAAGGACACGCACGGCGTTATTGACGAATGTGCTGAGTGTGTTGTTGTTTGTGTTTCCTACGTCATACGTGGTCCCTGATGTTTAAACACGGCGCCTTTTGCAAATGCACTGCAGGGGGTTATTTGACCATACGTCACCATGCTGGTCGCGTTTACTTTGATGTGTACAGTATAGTATGCACGAGTCTCTATGGGTCCTCCCGAGTTCCTCTTAAGTTGAAACAAATAATAAACGTCTTAGAATTGAATCGGCGTCCAAAGCCAAACATCCAATATGCTTAGGCAGGGCCAGCCTGAAAATAAGTTTTGAGACTCAGTGAAACTTTCCTGCAGAATAAAGGACATTAATCATTGTGAACATACCTACAACATTCCTTTCTCAAGGCGCTCTTCCACCTCCAACCCAGCTTAAATAAACGCTCCAAGCCTGGTGGTGTTCATTCAGACGCTGTCTTTCCGACAGACCTGTTCTTCACCTGAGGACGGCTGCTTGCGTTGTGGCCGAAACGTCGTGAGAATTATTTTATTATGTTTTATTTTTATTATTTTATTATTTCCCTTCTACGTGACTTTACCGAAAGAACCATGAAGATACGCACACTAATGACATCATCCAACCTGGTATTTAAGGAATATAAGTTGGACGTTACGCGTCCCGACAAATAACGTAGCGGATGGAACGCGCCTCGAGAAGACGTCCAGAGGGGGGAGATGGAATCTCACGGAATCAGTTCGTGGGCAGGTGCTTGAGGTGGATTGGTGGATCGCAGCAGCATGGTAGGAGTTGGGGCTGCTTGGGGAGGCCTTCATCCAGCAGTGGATTGATCATGAAAGAGGATGATTAATTATTAATTTGTTTAAACCTCCTATTGATTCTAACCCATCGGCCGCTCGTGCAGTCAGGAGCTCATTCCCAGTAAACGTGCAAAGTTGAGCCAACGTTACGCCCAACGTTCTCCAAACGTTAGGCCTAACGTTGCACGTTTACTGGGTGACTGATTGGGATCAATTACGATCTATCACCACCGACTGAGAATCAAGCATCGAAAGCGTCGATTCTCAAAGCCGAAGCAACTTTGTCGCGCGATAAAAAAAAAATCAGTTGCTCAACTTTTTTGCGTGAAACTCCGCAGACTCGCGGCTGCTTCTGTTGGGTAACGCGGTCTCACTTTACCCAGCAATTAGTCTCGATCAGGGCCTGCGTCTTTAATCATGAATAGGGGCTGAGAACCCGACACCGACCACTGCCTCCACTTTCGCCTGGGCGGCTCGACCCACGCAGCCCAGCAGGGGACCTAAGGCAATAAAAGGCGTGCACTGGGCCTATGAATCATAGTATCGTATGAGAAAAAATTATCTTGCTGGTTGGATTCATGCCTGCCTGGCTGAGTTTCTGCTTGGCTGGATTCCAGGCTCGCGGGCAAGTAGTGACGTCACCGTGCAATAGGGCGTCGAGCGCGGCTCGTGCGTGCCAATGCCCCCCCACACCCCCACCGAGGTGAGATAGAGGGAGGTGAGGAAGGAAGAGCGAGAGAGGGAGGTGAGGAAGGGAGAGAGAGGGAGGTGAGGAAGGGAGAGAGAGGGAGGTGAGGAAGGGAGAGCGAGAGAGGGAGGTGAGGAAGGGAGAGAGAGGAGGGAGGTGATGGAGGGAGGTGAGGAAGGGAGGCGAGGAAGAGAGGTGAGGGAGAGAGTGAGGAAGGGGGAGGAGGGAGGTGAGGAAGGGAGGTGAGGGAGATAGTGAGGATGAAGAAAGGGAGATGGAGGAGGGAGAAAGAGATGGATGTGAGAGGGGCGGGTAGAGAGTGAACGGACGTGAAACGGAGAGGAGTGAGCAAAACGGAAAGAGGAGATCGACCAGCAGTGAGTGGACGATTTTTTTCCCAGCTGCCTCGCCGCTATATATCGATTCGAGTACGAGGACTTCTGGGATTGTAAACCCTCGTGCAGCGTTCTTCACTAATTTTCAGAGGGGGAGGCCACTTTCGCCGACGAGACATCATCAGTGTGAGGGTCATTGGGGATTGACAGCACGATGGGTGGGGTGGGGGGGGGGAGGTGTCGTCACGTGTTGTGTATTGTGGGGGGCCGCAAGTCAAGGGCCGCACTGAAGGCCACCAGGGACCGGCAGTGGTCCGCGGGCCTTGCAATAACAAACAAAAAACCCTGCCCTAATCCACTCACAGGCAATTGTTGAACGTTTCATGAAAAACGTTGCATTTTGAGGCTGAGCCAGACAGACGTATTCATAAGACATTCAACAATAACCGGGACTTTAAAAATCAAGCCACGATTCATGACGGTCGAATCACGAATCTGAATCGTGGGTGATGCCATGGCGGGTTGATGGTGGTGGTGGGGTGAATGATTGCTTTTGAACTTAACAAGGCGCCTCTGGCTCCCTCCCCGCAAGCCGTTCGTCTGATCCCCCGTGATCCCCCTTGAAGCGAGCCGCAGCCCCCTCCACTACCCGCACCCCGCGGGGCCGTTTCATCAAAGCTCGTCTTGGCATCGGTCGGACTTGGTGAAATAATTCGTGCCATCTTCTTCCGCCAGCTCATCCATCCCAACGGCTCAGTTCCCCGCATCGCCGCCGCCGCTCCCTCCTCCCCCCTCCTCTCGCTGGGCGCACATTCGCGCCCAAGCGGCACGTTCACAGAGTGTACCCATTTTGCAGGAATTGTTGTTTTGGTCGTGGTATTGTCGCGGTGGTGGCGTTGTTGCTGTTGTTGTTCCGGCGGTAGTGGCGTTGTTGTGGTTATTATTGTTGTGGTGGTTGTGGAATTGTCGTGATATTGTGGTAGTGTATATTTATCACTTGTGCTTGTTTAGGCAGAATAGCCTGACTGAGTCCCATGATTCGTTTTCAAAAGAGGGTCCTGCCAAGTTTTTCGCAGTCGGGGCAATGTTGCTATTTTATATTTGAATTGTCCAACTCTATAGGCTGTGAGAGGCCATGTGGGGTCAAGAGCATCGCAGTGAGGAGACAAAGGGGGCCGGGAGTAGTGCTCTTCCCATCATCACTTCCTTGCGTCGGCCTAAACAGATTTGTGCCCAGGTGTGGTCACGTGATGATGGTCACGATGATGGTGCTGATGTTGGTGGTGATGATGATGATGGTGTTAACGCTGTCACCGTATTGCCCGGATTATAAGACGCTCCGAAAAGTAGGACGCACCTCCCCACACGTGTGTGCCCCGTGTCAATAAAGGTAGACACAAACCTGCTCACACAAACACAGATACCGGATTATAAGACGCACCACCCAACTTTTGCTTTCAAACACGCGGGAGAAATGTGCGTCCCATGTAGAGAATACGGTAGTGGACACTATGGTGGTGATGATGGTGGTGGTGGTGGCGACAAAGATCCCCTGTATAACCTAAACATAATTTACTTACACATATGAGCAGGGGGGTCCCCGACGCCTTCAAACTAAACCCGAAGTATTACATCTGACATTGTGATGTCGAAGCACGCCCCCTCCCCAAAGCGCGGGGCCCGGGGCGGCCTCCCCGATTCGCCGTGCCAGAGGGACGGCTCTGCACATTAAGTACTCGTGAATCGACGGACAACACAGAAGCTGCCTGGCCCCCGCTGCCTTCCCGCTCGTCTGGTGGTTGCTCCTCGCGAACTCAAGAGTCATCCTCTCTCTTCGAGAGTGACGTTATTAGTGGGCAGAGTTGGCAGAGAAGTAAGTGGAGCCAATGAGCAGCAGGCCGAGCCAACGTTGTATCGAACGGGGGCGGTGCTAGCGGTCCAGTGGGCGTGGTCGTGTAAAGTGGGCAGGGCTGGGAGCCCACAGCGTGTCCCGGTTGAGCCTCCCAGAAGTCTCGTAGCCTTACTGCTGCCAACAACAACAACGCGAGTTGACTCCCGAGGCCCACGCATCCAGGGGCAAGGGGATTGGGGGGAGCATGAACGTGTGGGGTGTAGAAGAAGATGTATTGATCAGAGTGTAGGCGTCAGGATGTAGGTGACAGGGTGTAGGGCTTAGAGTTCCGTTCGGGATGCTTCATAAGTCGAGGTTTTTAAGGCTCGTCTGAAAGGACAATTATTTTCTCTTGTATATCCGCATGCGTAGGGTTGTTTTCCTCTTCGTTTTAATGTTAAGGGTTTTTACTGGGATTGTTTTTTTACTGGGATTGTGTTGAAAAGCACTGTGAGGTGTTGCGTCTACCCCCCCCCCCCCCCCCAACTTCCCGAGTTTTACTTACAAAAACACCGGTCCAGGTCACAGTAATGGCGAGCGGCACGTGCTCGGATCACAGATCAGGGGCTTACGGAGTGGTGTGATCGATTTCTCGAGTGAGAGAGAGTGGAGGGGGGGGGGGTTACTCCTTTCAAATGTGCTTTATTTCACGCGAGACAAAGCGGACACCACGGCGAGCGGCGACATTCACACTGCGCACGGCGGCGGGGCCCACCGCGCACACAGCGGCCACACCACGGCCCAGGGTGAACCACACCACGGCCCAGGGCCGAAGGGCAACCACTCCAAGGTCCAGGGTCAACCACGCCACGGTTCACGGTTAACCACACCACGGCCTTGGGGCAACCACACCACGGCCTTGGGGCAACCACACTACCGCCCGGGATTCAACCACCCCGTGGTCAGGTTAACCACACCATGGTCCAGGGTTACCCGCATCGCGGTCCAGGTTTTACCCTACATACCATAGATTCGAGGTTACCACACCATGTCCTGTATGTGTTAAACATGCCACGTTCGGTCTCTGTGGTTAACATACCATGTCTTGTCTCACCTTCTTTACACGGTGGCTACAGCTTTATCATACAATAGCTCCAGGTTTATCACACCATGGCCCAAGTTTACGGTAGCACGCCTCTGTGTCTACTACCCCACGTGATGTCTCTGTGTCTACCACCCACTTCCTGTCTCTGTCTACCACCCCACTTCCTGTCTGTGTCTACCACCCCACTTCCTGTGTCTACAACCCACTTCCTGTCTCTGTCTACCACCCCACTTCCTGTCTGTGTCTACCACCCCACTTCCTGTCTGTGTCTACCACCCCACGTGCTGTCTGTGTCTACCACCCCACTTCCTGTCTGTGTCTACCACTCCACTTCCTGTCTCTGTCTGCCACCCCACTTCCTGTCTGTGTCTACCACCCCACTTCCTGTCTGTGTCTACCACCCCAGTTCCTGTCTCTGTGTCTACCACCCCACTTCCTGTCTCTGTCTGCCACCCCACTTCCTGTCTCTGTCTGCCACCCCACTTCCTGTCTGTGTCTACCACCCCAGTTCCTGTCTCTGTGTCTACCACCCCACTTCCTGTCTCTGTTTACCACGCCATTTTGTGGCTGTGTATCCTGGTTTACCATCTTGGTACTGGGATTACCACACTATGTCGCCTGGGTTCACCGCACCAAGGCTATGGGTTTACCGCACCAAGGCTTTGGGTTTACCGCACCAAGGCTTTGGGTTCACCGCACCAAGGCTATGGGTTCACCGCGCCACGGATATGGGTTCACCGCACCAAGGCTTTGGGTTCACCGCACCAAGGCTATGGGTTCACCGCGCCACGGATATGGGTTCACCGCACCACGGCTTTGGGTTCACCGTGCCACGCAAGGGACCAGAGTCCCGGTGGGGAAGTCACGGTGCCGCCTGGCCTGAACCCCGTGGACACCAAATACCCCTGTGTGACCCCCGAGGACAATTAACCCCCCCCCCAATTAATCCCCAAACACACCGCCGATTCATCCATAGTTTAACCCCGAAGCGGGGGGGGGGGGGATTGGGCAGGAGAGGTCAGGTGACACCAGGGAACAGGTAAGTTCAGGGGTCGGGTGAGGTCGGGGGCTAGGTAAGAGAGGCCACGTAAGTTCAGGGTTCAGGTGAGTCCAGCGGGTCGGATAGGTTCAGGGGCCAGGTGAAATTTCAGGGGAGCCAGGTGAGAATGTCCACGTGGAGTTTCCAGCGCTCAGGGATGGCAGGTGACCGAGCACCCCGTGACCTCCACCACCACGCGTCAATGCGTGACCCCCCCCCCCGCCATCTCGCACCCCCCCAGCCCCCCCACTACGTGCTCAGCATGCCGTGGTGGGTGGGAGCGGTGGGCGAGTGGCTTGGGTGGCCCCTTCCCCGACACAGACGACCCCACGTGGGCAGCGGCAGGGAGCCGTGTGGAGTCGCGCCCAATACACTCGTCACCATCAGTACTGCAGTAATTCATTAAATAACACTTTGTCAGTATGTACACGTAGGCCCGCGCTCGGGTCTCATTAAAATATCTCTTCTCGTTTGTACACGAAGCTGCTCGCGCTCTACGAGCTCCCGCCACGGGAACGGGGAGTTGGCACGGGTGTGCGCCAGCCGCACTGCTCCTTCCTCCCTCCTCCTCATCTGCCTCGTCCCATCTCACCACGGTCCCCGCACCCACCTCGCCATCACTACCCGCGCAGTGGCGATTCTAGGACCCGGTAACCACGGGGTGGCGGTGGAGGGGGGGAGGGCACATGGGGGAGGAGGGTCGGGGGGGGGCACCCATTTTCTCCCCACCCCCCCCCCGCCTCGGTGTGAAACTCCCCGAGTGGGGCGAGATTCTGAAGCTCGCAGCTTGGAGGCCTCGCGTGCCGACCCATCAGCTGGCGCGTGTTATCTGGCACAGGGAAGGAAACGATGGCGGGTTGCGGTCGGTTGTTGCAAAGCTGTCGAGCCCAGCAGCGGCCGCCGCGGCTAATCGCTGTGGCCGAGTGCACTAGCCGCCGCAGGGGACTCGCGCTGCCGGAGCGTTCCGCGCCCGTGCCGGGGTCGCGGCGCGAACTGGCGGAATATGAACAGCTGCTAGCGAATCACGACATTGGGGTAAACCGTGTTACAACATCGTCCCCCCCCCCTCCCCCCTTGTCTAATTGGGGGGGGCGGCGGTGGTGATGTGGCCTTGCCGGAGCACACGCTCGCCCCCTGTTAGACAGCTTTCGCGGTTCGGTTCCGGCAGGCCGCCCTGGTTAACTCGCTGCTGCGGTGCGCACCGCACGCAACCGCCGTAGAGCGCTGCCGGCGCCGGCCGCCTCGCTCGCGACGTCATTCCGAACGAGCGGCCCCCCGAGTTTGCCGCCCGGCGTCACGACGGTCCCCGCCTGTGGCGAACTTGATAGACGAACCCCGCGGATGACTCACGCGGGGACTGCCCCGTGGCAGCCGCACGCGCTCAGCGGTCGATGCTTGGCCACGCTCGTGATGATGACCTCTTTAACCCTAACGTGAGCAGCCACTGCCTCTCAATGGTTTGGGGGGGGGGGGCACATGGATAAGGTGGGGGGGGGGCAGGGGACACTGCAATTCATCAAGGGGGGTCACAGCCTTCCCAGGCCAACCCCCTCCTCCCCTAGAATCGCCACTGCTCCTCGCGAGCCCCCCCACTCCCCTGCCCTCTCCCTGCTGTGTCTATGTACACGTGTGTGCGTGTACACGTGTGTGCGTGTACACGTGTGTGCGTGTACACGTGTGTGCGTGTACACGTGTGTGCGTGCGCGTGCGTGTGTGCCGCGCCGGGGTTCGGGGACCCAGACACCGACTCCACCCAGGTCCCCTGATATGTAGTGCGGCGCGGGGGGGGGGTCACGGAGGGGTCACGGGGCCGGGGGGATCAGGGACCCCCCCCCCCTCCTACGTCTGCCCGTAAGGATCGACAGCGACCTCGACTCCCTTCTGGTGTCACACGCAGGCAACCCCTAAACACGCAGGCAACCCCCAATCGGGGACCCCCCCCCCATCATGCCGGGTAGGGGGGCATCGCAAAACCGTGTCTCACCTCGACCCCCACCACCCCGGACCCCCTGACAGCCCCTACATCACAGCGCAGGGGTCTGGGGGAGAGACGCGTCTGGGGGTGCAGATAGGGGGTCATGGTGGGGGCGGGCGCAGGGGGCTTGCGAGGCGCGCAAAGTCGGGGGTCTGTTGGGGAGCACAAGGGGACGCGCGTCGCGAGGGGGTCGCGGGGGGGGGGGGTCGCGGGGGGCCGCAAGAGTTAGGGGGGGTGAGGGCGTGGGGGGGGCGGTCTCGGGAGGAGGGGGTCTTGGGGTCACGGGGAGGCGCTGCCCCCTCCACCTTCAAGTACTGAGCGTTGCGACAGCACGGGCGGGCGGGCGGGGTGGGGGTAAGGGGTGGTGGGGGGGGGGGCCCTGCTGCCTGTGGGACCCTCGGGGGGCCCCCTGAGGCGGCCCTGGCCCGGGGGTGGGGCCCTCGGCCGCCGCCTCCGCGCGCTGGGGGTCACGGACGCTCGCGACCTCGCGCGCCTCCAGTAAAAAGTTTGGTCCTTTGGTCCCTACGGTCTAAGGAATGATGAGTCAGCGATCTCGCTGGGGGCGCCCAGCAAGGGGGTACCCGGCGATGGGGGTCCCCGGCGAAGGGGGTCCCCGGCGAAGGGGTTTAGGAGGGGAGGGAGGGTCCCGGTCTTCTCCAACGTCCGGTGCCACTCAGAGCCTCTTCTGCAGCCACGCAGGGAAGTGGGTGGGGGGGTGGGGGCTAGGCCCTCCCCTCCTGGGGGGCGGGGCTGGGGGCTGCAGGGGGTCTGAGCCCCGGGGTGGGGGCGGTACCCTGTGGGGGACTCGGGGGGGGGACCCCTGGGAAGGGGGCGGGGCGGGGAGCAAGACTCCATGGGGGAGGGGTTACCCCATAGAGAGGAAGGGGTTATCTCAAAGGGGTAAAGGTTACCCCATACAAGGGAGAGGGGGCAGGGGATACTATACGGAGTAGGGGAGGGGAGGGGCTAAGCCGAAGGAAGGGGGTTACCCCATAGGGGGAGGAGTTACCCCGTAAAATAGGGATGGGCGATCCCCAGGAGGGGATTGGTTACCCTGGATAGGAGTTACCCCGTGGGGGGGAAGGGGATGCCCCGTGAGGGGGAGGGGCTATCCCGTCGGGGGAGGGGTCACCCCTGCGGGGGAGGGGAGGGGTTACCCCAGCGGGGGAGGGAGGAGGGGTTACCCCAGCGGGGGAGGGAGGAGGGGTTACCCCAGCGGGGGAGGGAGGAGGGGTTACCCCGTGCGGGGGTCAGAAGCTGCTGTTCCATAACGTCTCCCTGAAAAAGAGGGCAGCAGAGGGGAGAATGTGGTGAGTGTGGTGAGTGTGGTGAGTGTGGTGCAAGGTGAGTGTGGTGCAAGGTGAGTGTGGTGAGCGTGGTGCAGGGTGAGCGTGGTGAGTGTGGTGCAGGGTGAGTGTGGTGAGCGTGGTGCAAGGTGAGTGTGGTGAGTGTGGTGAGTGTGGTGCAGGGTGAGTGTGGTGAGTGTGGTGCAGGGTGAGCGTGGTGAGTGTGGTGCAGGGTGAGTGTGGTGAGCGTGGTGCAAGGTGAGTGTGGTGAGTGTGGTGAGCGTGGTGCAGGGTGAGCGTGGTGCAGGGTGAGTGTGGTGAGTGTGGTGCAGGGTGAGTGTGGTGAGTGTGGTGAGCGTGGTGAGTGTGGTGCAGGGTGAGTGTGGTGAGTGTGGTGCAAGGTGAGTGTGGTGAGTGTGGTGAGTGTGGTGCAGGGTGAGTGTGGTGAGTGTGGTGCAGGGTGAGTGTGGTGAGTGTGGTGAGCGTGGTGAGTGTGGTGCAGGGTGAGTGTGGTGAGTGTGGTGCAAGGTGAGTGTGGTGAGTGTGGTGAGTGTGGTGCAGGGTGAGTGTGGTGAGTGTGGTGAGTGTGGTTCAGGGTGAGTGTGGTGAGCGTGGTGAGTGTGGTGCAGGGTGAGTGTGGTGAGTGTGGTGCAGGGTGAGTGTGGTGAGTGTGGTGAGTGTGGTGAGTGTGGTGCAGGGTGAGTGTGGTGAGTGTGGTGCAGGGTGAGTGTGGTGAGTGTGGTGAGTGTGGTGAGTGTGGTGCAGGGTGAGTGTGGTGAGTGTGGTGAGTGTGGTGCAGGGTGAGTGTGGTGAGTGTGGTGAGTGTGGTGAATGTGGTGAGTGTGGTGCAAGGTGAGTGTGGTGAGTGTGGTGCAGGGTGAGTGTGGTGAGTGTGGTGCAAGGTGAGTGTGGTGAGTGTGGTGCAAGGTGAGTGTGGTGAGTGTGGTGCAGGGTGAGTGTGGTGAGTGTGGTGCAGGGTGAGTGTGGTGCAGGGTGAATGTGGTGAGTGTGGTGCAAGGTGAGTGTGGTGAGTGTGGTGCAAGGGTGAGTGTGGTGAGTGTGGTGCAGGGTGAGTGTGGTGAGTGTGGTGCAGGGTGAGTGTGGTGAGTGTGGTGCAAGGTGAGTGTGGTGAGTGTGGTGCAGGGTGAGTGTGGTGAGTGTGGTGCAGGGTGAGTGTGGTGAGTGTGGTGCAAGGTGAGTGTGGTGAGTGTGGTGAAGGGTGAGTGTGGTGAGCGTGGTGCAGGGTGAGTGTGGTGAGTGTGGTGCAGGGTGAGTGTGGTGAGTGTGGTGCAGGGTGAGTGTGGTGAGTGTGGTGCAGGGTGAGTGTGGTGAGTGTGGTGCAGGGTGAGTGTGGTGAGTGTGGTGAAGGGTGAGTGTGGTGAGCGTGGTGCAGGGTGAGTGTGGTGAGTGTGGTGCAAGGTGAGTGTGGTGAGTGTGGTGAGTGTGGTGCAGGGTGAGTGTGGTGAGTGTGGTGAGTGTGGTGAGCGTGGTGAGTGTGGTGCAGGATGAGTGTGGTGAGTGTGGTGCAGGGTGAGTGTGGTGAGTGTAGTGCAGGGTGAGTGTGGTGAGTGTGGTGAGTGTGGTGAGTGTGGTGCAGGATGAGTGTGGTGAGTGTGGTGAGTGTGGTGAGTGTGGTGCAGGGTGAGTGTGGTGAGTGTGGTGAGTGGTGGTGCAGGGTGAGTGTGGTGAGTGTGGTGAGTGTGGTGCAGGGTGAGTGTGGTGAGCGTGGTGCAGGGTGAGTGTGGTGAGTGTGGTGCAGGGTGAGTGTGGTGAGTGTGGTGAGTGTGGTGCAGGGTGAGTGTGGTGAGTGTGGTGAGCGTGGTGAGTGTGGTGCAGGGTGAGTGTGGTGAGTGTGGTGCAAGGTGAGTGTGGTGAGTGTGGTGAGTGTGGTGAGCGTGGTGAGTGTGGTGCAGGGTGAGTGTGGTGAGTGTGGTGCAGGGTGAGTGTGGTGAGTGTGGTGAGTGTGGTGAGCGTGGTGAGTGTGGTGCAGGGTGAGTGTGGTGAGTGTGGGCGGGTGAGTGTGGTGAGTGTTGGGGAGGTGGTGCAGGGTGAGTGTGGTGAGTGTGGTGCAGGGTGAGTGTGGGAGTGTGGTGAGTGTGGTGAGTGTGGTGAGTGTGGTGCAGGGTGAGTGTGGTGAGTGTGGTGCATGGGTGAGTGTGGTGAGTGTGGTGCAAGGTGAGTGTGGTGAGTGTGGTGCAAGGTGAGTGTGGTGAGTGTGGTGCAGGGTGAGTGTGGTGAGTGTGGTGCAAGGGTGAGTGTGGTGAGTGTGGTGCAGGGTGAGTGTGGTGAGTGTGGTGCAGGGTGAATGTGGTGAGTGTGGTGCAAGGGTGAGTGTGGTGAGTGTGGTGCAAGGGTGAAGTGTGGTGAGTGTGGTGCAAGGTGAGTGTGGTGAGTGTGGTGCAGGGTGAGTGTGGTGAGTGTGGTGCAAGGTGAGTGTGGTGAGTGTGGTGCAAGGTGAGTGTGGTGAGTGTGGTGCAAGGTGAGTGTGGTGAGTGTGGTGCAAGGTGAGTGTGGTGAGTGTGGTGCAAGGTGATGTGTGGTGAGTGTGGTGCAAGGTGAGTGTGGTGAGTGTGGTGCAGGTGAGTGTGGTGAGTGTGGTACAGGGTGAGTGTGGGTGAGTGTGGTGCAAGGTGAGTGTGGTGAGTGTGGTGCAGGGTGAGTGTGGTGAGTGTGGTGCAAGGTGAGTGTGGTGCAGGGTGAGTGTGGTGCAGGGTGAGTGTGGTGAGTGTGGTGCAAGGTGAGTGTGGTGAGTGTGGTGCAGGGTGAGTGTGGTGAGTGTGGTGCAGGGTGAGTGTGGTGAGTGTGGTGAGGGTGAGTGGTGAGGTGGTGCAAGGTGAGTGTGGTGCAGGGTGAGTGTGGTGAGTGTGGTGCAGGGTGAGTGTGGTGAGTGTGGTGCAAGGTGAGTGTGGTGAGTGGTGCAGGGTGAGTGTGGTGAGTGTGGTGCAGGGTGAGTGTGGTGAGTGTGGTGCAGGTGAGTGTGGTGGTGGGGGGGTGAGTGTGGGAGTGTGGTGCAAGGTGAGGTGGTGTGGTGAGTGTGTGGTGAAGGGTGAGTGTGGTGAGCGTGGTGCGGTGTTGGTGAGTGTGGTGAGGGGTGAGTGTGGTGGAGTGTGGTGCAGGGTGAGTGTGGTGAGTGTGGTGAAGGGTGAGTGTGGTGAGTGGGTGCAGGGTGAGTGTGGTGAGTGGGTGCAGGGTGAGTGTGGTGAGTGTGGTGAAGGGTGAGTGTGGTGAGCGTGGTGCAGGGTGAGTGTGGTGAGTGTGGTGCAAGGTGAGTGTGGTGAGTGTGGTGAGTGTGGTGCAGGGTGAGTGTGGTGAGTGTGGTGCAAGGTGAGTGTGGTGAGTGTGGTGCAAGGTGAGTGTGGTGAGTGTGGTGCAGGGTGAGTGTGGTGAGTGTGGTGCAGGGTGAGTGTGGTGAGTGTGGTGCAAGGTGAGTGTGGTGAGTGTGGTGAAGGGTGAGTGTGGTGAGCGTGGTGCAGGGTGAGTGTGGTGAGTGTGGTGCAGGGTGAGTGTGGTGAGTGTGGTGCAGGGTGAGTGTGGTGAGTGTGGTGCAAGGTGAGTGTGGTGAGTGTGGTGAAGGGTGAGTGTGGTGAGCGTGGTGCAGGGGGTGAGTGTGGTGAGTGTGGTGCGGTGTGAGTGTGGTGAGTGTGGTGCAAGGTGAGTGTGGTGAGTGTGGTGCAAGGTGAGTGTGGTGATTGTGGTGAAGGGTGAGTGTGGGAGCGTGGTGCAAGGTGAGTGTGGTGAGTGTGGTGAAGGGTGAGTGTGGTGAGTGTGGTGCAGGGTGAGTCTGGTGAGTGTGGTGCAGGGTGAGTGTGGTGAGTGTGGTGCAAGGTGAGTGTGGTGACTGTGGTGCAAGGTGAGTGTGGTGAGTGTGGTGAGTGTGGTGAAGGGTGAGTGTGGTGAGCGTGGTGCAAGGTGAGTGTGGTGAGTGTGGTGCAAGGTGAGTGTGGTGAGTGTGGTGAGTGTGGTGCAGGGTGAGTGTGGTGAGTGTGGTGCAGGGTGAGTGGGTGGGTGAGTGTGGTGAGTGGTGGTGGTGTGCAGGGTGAGTGTGGTGAGTGTGGTGCAAGGTGAGTGTGGTGAGTGTGGTGAGTGTGGTGCAGGTGAGTGTGGTGAGTGTGGTGGGTGTGGTTCAGGGTGTGAGTGTGGTGAGCGTGGTGCAGGGTGAGTGTGGTGAGTGTGGTGAGGGTGAGTGTGGTGAGTGTGGTGCAAGGTGAGTGTGGTGAGTGTGGTGCAGGGTGAGTTGGTGAGTGTGGTGCAGGGTGAGTGTGGTGAGTGTGGTGCAAGGTGGTGTGGTGAGTGTGGTGAAGGTGAGTGTGGTGAGCGTGGTGCAGGGTGAGTGCTGGTGAGTGTGGTGCAGGGTGAGTGTGGTGAGTGTGTTGCAGGTGAGTGTGGTGAGTGTGGTGCAGGGTGAGTGTGGTGAGTGTGGTGCAGGGTGAGTGTGGTGAGTGTGGTGAAGGGTGAGTGTGGTGAGCGTGGTGCAGGGTGAGTGTGGTGAGTGTGGTGCAAGGTTGAGTGTGGTGAGTGTGGTGCGTGTGGTGCCGGGTGAGTGTGGTGAGTGTGGTGAGTGGTGAGCTGAGTAGAGTGTGTGCAGGATGAGTGTGGGAGTGGGTGAGGTGAGTGTGGTGAGTGTAGTGGCAGGGTGAGTGTGGTGAGTGTAGTGCAGGTGAGTGTGGTGAGTGTGGTGAGTGTGGTGAGTGTGGTGCAGGATGAGTGTGGTGAGTGTGGTGAGTGTGGTGAGTGTGGTGCAGGGTGAGTGTGGTGAGTGTGGTGAGTGTGGTGCAGGGTGAGTGTGGTGAGTGTGGTGAGTGTGGTGCAGGGTGAGTGTGGTGAGCGTGGTGCAGGGGAGTGTGGTGAGTGTGGTGCAGGGTGAGTGTGGTGAGTGTGGTGAGTGTGTGGTGCAGGTGAGTGTGGTGATGTGGTGAGCGTGGTGATGTGGTGCAGGGTGAGTGTGGTGAGTGTGGTGCAGGTGAGTGTGGTGAGTGTGGTGAGTGTGGTGAGCGTGGTGAGTGTGGTGCAGGGTGAGTGTGGTGAGTGTGGTGCAGGGTGAGTGTGGTGAGTGTGGTGAGTGTGGTGAGCGTGGTGAGTGTGTGCAGGGTGATGTGGTGAGTGTGGTGCAGGGTGAGTGGGTGGTGTGGTGAGTGTGGTGAGTGTGGTGCAGGGTGAGTGTGGTGAGTGTGGTGCAGGGGTGAGTGTGGTGAGTGTGGTGAGTGTGGTGAGTGTGGTGAGTGTGGTGCAGGGTGAGTGTGGTGAGTGTGGTGCAGGGTGAGTGTGGTGAGTGTGGTGCAAGGTGAGTGTGGTGAGTGTGGTGCAAGGTGATGTGGTGAGTGTGGTGCAGGGTGAGTGTGGTGAGTGTGGTGCAGGGTGAGTGTGGTGAGTGTGGTGCAGGGTGAGTGTGGTGAGTGTGGTGCAGGGTGAATGTGGTGAGTGTGGTGCAAGGTGAGTGTGGTGAGTGTGGTGCAAGGTGAGTGTGGTGAGTGTGGTGCAAGGTGAGTGTGGTGAGTGTGGTGCAGGGTGAGTGTGGTGAGTGTGGTGCAAGGTGAGTGTGGTGAGTGTTGGTGCAAGGTGAGTGTGGGGTGAGTGTGGTGCAAGGTGAGTGTGGTGAGTGTGGTGCAAGGTGAGTGTGGTGAGTGTGGTGCAGGGTGAGTGTGGTGAGTGTGGTACAGGGTGAGTGTGGTGAGTGTGGTGCAAGGTGAGTGTGGTGAGTGTGGTGCAGGGTGAGTGTGGTGAGTGTGGTGCAAGGTGAGTGTGGTGGCAGGGGTGAGTGTGGTGCAGGGTGAGTGTGGTGAGTGTGGTGCAAGGTGAGTGTGGTGAGTGTGGTGCAGGTGAGTGGGGTGAGTGTGGTGCAGGTGAGTGTGGTGAGTGTGGTGAAGGGTGAGTGTGGTGAGGTGTGGTGCAGGGTGAGTCTGGTGAGTGTGGTGCAGGGGTGAGTGTGGTGAGTGTGGGCAAGGTGAGTTGGGTGACTGTGGTGCAAGGTGAGTGTGGTGAGTGTGGTGAGTGTGGTGAAGGGTGAGTGTGGTGAGCGTGGTGCAAGGTGAGTGTGGTGAGTGTGGTGAAGGGTGAGTGTGGTGAGTGTGGTGCAGGGTGAGTGTGGTGCAGGGTGAGTGTGGTGAGTGTGGTGAGTGTGGTGCAGGGTGAGTGTGGTGAGTGTGGTGAAGGGTGAGTGTGGTGAGCGTGGTGCAGGGTGAGTGTGGTGAGTGTGGTGCAAGGTGAGTGTGGTGAGTGTGGTGAGTGTGGTGCAGGGTGAGTGTGGTGAGTGTGGTGAGTGTGGTGAGTGTGGTGCAGGGTGAGTGTGGTGAGCGTGGTGAGTGTGGTGAGTGTGGTGAGTGTGGTGCAGGGTGAGTGTGGTGAGCGTGGTGAGTGTGGTGAGTGTGGTGCACGGTGAGTGTGGTGAGTGTGGTGAGTGTGGTGAGTGTGGTGCAGGGTGAGTGTGGTGAGCGTGGTGAGTGTGGTGCAGGGTGAGTGTGGTGAGTGTGGTGAGTGTGGTGAGTGTGGTGCAGGGTGAGTGTGGTGCAGGGTGAGCGTGGTGAGTGTGGTGCCGGGTGAGTGTGGTGAGTGTGGTGAATGTGGTGAGTGTGGTGAGTGTGGTGAGTGTGGTGCAGGGGATGGGGTGAGTGTGGTGAGTGTGGTGCAAGGGAGTGTGAGTGAGCGTGGTGCAGGGTGAGTGTGGTGAGTGTGGTGAGTGTGGTGCAGGGTGATTGTGGTGAGTGTGGTGAGTGTGGTGCAAGGTGAGTGTGGTGAGTGTGGTGCAGGGTGAGTGTGGTGAGTGTGGTGAGTGTGGTGCAGGGTGAGTGTGGTGAGTGTGGTGAGTGTGGTGCAAGGTGAGTGTGGTGAGCGTGGTGCAGGGTGAGTGTGGTGAGTGTGGTGAGTGTGGTGCAGGGTGAGTGTGGTGAGTGTGGTGCAGGGTGAGTGTGGTGAGTGTGGTGCAGGGTGAGCGTGGTGAGTGTGGTGAGTGTGGTGAGTGTGGTGAGTGTGGTGCAGGGTGAGTGTGGTGAGTGTGGTGAGCGTGGTGAGTGTGGTGAGTGTGGTGCAGGGTGAGTGTGGTGAGTGTGGTGAGTGTGGTGCAGGGTGAGTGTGGTGAGTGTGGTGAGCGTGGTGAGTGTGGTGCAGGGTGAGTGTGGTGAGTGTGGTGCAGGGTGAGCGTGGTGAGTGTGGTGCAGGGTGAGTGTGGTGAGTGTGGTGAGTGTGGTGAGTGTGGTGCAGGGTGAGTGTGGTGAGCGTGGTGAGTGTGGTGAGTGTGGTGCAGGGTGAGTGTGGTGCAGGGTGAGTGTGGTGCAAGGTGAGTGTGGTGAGTGTGGTGCAGGGTGAGTGTGGTGAGTGTGGTGCAAGGTGAGTGTGGTGAGCGTGGTGCAGGATGAGTGTGGTGAGTGTGGTGCAAGGTGAGTGTGGTGAGCGTGGTGCAGGGTGAGTGTGGTGCAAGGTGAGTGTGGTGAGTGTGGTGCAAGGTGAGTGTGGTGAGTGTGGTGCAGGGTGAGTGTGGTGCAGGGTGGTGTGCAAGGTGAGTGTGGTGAGTGTGGTGCAGGGTGAGTGTGGTGAGTGTGGTGCAAGGTGAGTGTGGTGAGCGTGGTGCAGGGTGAGTGTGGTGCAGGTGAGTGTGGTGCAAGGTGAGTGGTGGTGAGTGGTGCAAGGTGAGTGTGTGAGTGTGTTCAGGGTGATGTGTGAGTGTGGATTGCAGAGGTGAGTGTGGTGAGTGTGGTGCAGGGTGAGTGTGGTGAGTGTGGTTGCAAGGGTGAGTGTGGTGAGTGTGTGCAGGTGAGTGTGGTGAGTGTGGTGCAAGGTGAGTGTGGTGAGCGTGGTGCAGGGTGAGTGTGGTGCAAGGTGAGTGTGGTGAGTGTGGTGCAAGGTGAGTGTGGTGAGTGTGGTGCAGGGTGAGTGTGGTGCAGGGTGAGTGTGGTGCAAGGTGAGTGTGGTGAGTGTGGTGCAGGGTGAGTGTGGTGAGTGTGGTGCAAGGTGAGTGTGGTGAGCGTGGTGCAGGGTGAGTGTGGTGCAGGGTGAGTGTGGTGCAAGGTGAGTGTGGTGAGTGTGGTGCAAGGTGAGTGTGGTGAGTGTGGTGCAGGGTGAGTGTGGTGCAGGGTGAGTGTGGTGCAAGGTGAGTGTGGTGAGTGTGGTGCAGGGTGAGTGTGGTGAGTGTGGTGCAAGGTGAGTGTGGTGAGTGTGGTGCAGGGTGAGTGTGGTGAGTGTGGTGCAGGGTGAATGTGGTGAGTGTGGTGCAAGGTGAGCGTGGTGAGTGTGGTGCAAGGTGAGCGTGGTGAGTGTGGTGCAAGGTGAGCGTGGTGCAGGGTGAGTGTGGTGCAGGGTGAGTGTGGTGAGTGTGGTGCAGGGTGAGTGTGGTGACTGTGGTGCAGGGTGAGTGTGGTGAGTGTGGGGAGTGTGGTGCAGGGTGAGTGTGGTGAGCGTGGTGCAGGGTGAGTGGAGTATGGTGAGTGCCTCACCTTGAGAGTGCGGGGAAGTGGCCCTTCACCTGGTGAGTATGGCGAGTCGCCCATCACCTGGCCAGTGTGCGCTCAGGAGGGGCGGTGTGGTGAGTGGTGAGTGTGGTGAGTGTGCCCTCACCTGGTGAGTATGGCGAGTCGCCCATCACCTGGTCAATGTGCGCTCAGGAGGGGCGTTTGGGTGAGTGGTGAGTGTGGTGAGTCGCCCTGACCTGGTGAGTGTGCACTCAGTCGGGGCAGTGTGGTGAGTGTGGTGAGTTGTCCCTGACCTGGCTAGTGCACGCTTAGTCTGGGCGGTGTGACGAGTGACCCCCCCTCCCTCCCACCGCTCACCAGGTGAGAATAGTTTAGTGGCCCCCCTCGCCAGGCAAGCGTGTGCTCATTAGGGGCGGCGTGGTGAGTGGTGAGTGTGGTGAGTCGCCCATCACCTGGTGAGTGTGCGTCTCAGTAGGGGCGGTTGGCGTCCTTGGGTCGCTTGAGCTGCACCTTGAGCCGCTTCATTCCGATCTGAAAGCCGTTCATGGCCTGGATCGCAGCCTGGGCAGAGCCCGGGTTATCAAAACTCACGAACCCTGGGGCACGGGCACACGCGACACCGGTGGTGAGTGGCCCCTCACCTGGTGAGCATGTGCTCGGTGTGGGGTGGGGGGGCGGTGCGGTGAGTGTGGTGAGTGTGGTGAGTGCCCTGTGCAGAGCCCGGATTGTCAAAACTCACGAACCCTGGGGCACGGGCACACGTGACACCAGCGGTGAGTGGCCCCTCACCTGGTGAGCATGCACTCGCTCAGTGGGGTGGGGGGAGGGGAGGGCGGTGCGGTGAGTGGTGAGTGTGGTGAGTGCCCTGGGCAGAGCCCGGATTATCCAAACTCACCTGGTGAGTGTGGCGCTCAGCAGGGGGCGTCGTGGTGAGTGGCCCCTCACCTGGTGAGTGTGGCGCTCGGGGTAGTGGGAGGAGCGCTGAGTGTGGTGAGTGACCTCGGCTGGTGAGTGTGCGGGGAGTCGGGGCGGTGCGCCGAGTGGTGAGCGTGGCGTGTACCCTCACCTGGTAGTTGTAGGTGTGATGCAGTGATTGGTGACTGGTGAGTGTGGAGTGCCCTCACCTGGCGAGCATGCAGGCAGTAGGGGCAGCGTGGTGAGTGGTGAGTGACGCTGCTGTTGGCAGTAGGGGCTGTGTGGCCAGTGATTGCTGGTGGGTGAGTGGGCAGTAGGGGCAGCGTGGTGAGTGTGGTGAGTGGATACTACACATTGTTCAGCTATACACACCCCATCACTCTCACACACTCAGTGAGTGAGGGTGGGGCGGGTGATAGTGGAGTGCGTGAGGGTGGAGCGAGTGAGGGTGGAGCGAGTGAAGGTGGAGTGACTGTTGAGGGTAGAGCAACAGGTGAGGGTGGAGCAAGTGAGGGTGGAGTGACTGGTGAGGGTGGAATGACGGGTGAGGGTAGAGCGGCAGGTGAGGTTGGAGCGAGTGAGGGTGGAGCTAGTGAGGGTGGAGTGAGTGAGGGTAGAGCGAGTGAGGGTGGAGTGAGTGAGGGTGGAGTGACGAGTGAGGGTGGAATGACGGGTGAGGGTAGAGTGGCGGGTGAGGTTGCAGCGAGTGAGGGTGGAGCTAGTGAGGGTGGATTGAGTGAGGGTAGAGCGAGTGAGGGTGGAGTGACGGGTGAGGATGGAGGGTTGCGCGAGGGTGGAGCGGCGGGTGAGGGTGGAGCGACGAGGAGGATGGGGTGAGTGTCTGTACCGAAGCACTTGCTCTGGTTGGTGGCTCTGTCCACGAACACCTTGGAGGAGATGACGCTGCCGAACGGGAGGAACATCTGCGTGAGCTCCCCGTCGCCAAACTCCTGCGGCAGGTGGTAGATGAAGAGGTTGCAGCCCTCGGGGCCTGCAGGCGCGGGGGGAAAGAGCAGCAAAGAGGTCAGAAGAGGTGAGCGCAGGTAAGAGAGGGTAAATGGACCAGGTGAGAGCAGGGGAGGGGATTGGCCAGGTGAGAGGGGGGGGGGGATGGACCAGGTGAGAGGGGGAGGATGGAGCAGGTGAGAGAGGAAGGTGAGAGTGGTGGTGGTGGTGGTTGTAATGTGGTTGTACCTTCTCTCTGTTGTTGAGGCAGCACTGTGCCCGGGTGTGGGAAGCTCTGGTTGATTTGTCCATAGACAGCTGGGTACGTCGCTGAACAAAGACAAAAACAAAGATCCCCGTATAGCCTTAACAGACTGTTGGGGCAAGTGCTTTTAGCGAGCACCTTTAAAGACCAGCACGGCACACGAGGGGTTGGGTGGCCAACACCACGCCCGGCCGCCTTTGTCTCCCCAGTGGCAACGTTTACACACCACACCAGGTTCTCATTTGAGACTGAGTCGACCTAGGGGAGGCCCACGACCAGTTCAAATAATCGTCACTGGTGTTGGCCGTGAGCGAGAATCCAACTCGGGTCGCCAGGTTGTAGCACAACGCGCTAACTGCTACACACACACACTGATCACTATTCACCAAACAATGTGATAGTGTGATGTTGCGTGGTGGTATGATGGGGTCACGGTGTGATAGTGTGAAGGTGTAGGCAGGTATAGTGGTATAGATGTGGTACAGTTGTGGTACAGTTGTGGTACAGTTGTGGTACGTGGTGGTGGTGGCGGTGCGATGTGGTATTGTGGCAGTGTGATGTGGTGGTGTGACAGTGAGTAATGTGGTGGTTGTGCGGTGGTGAGACTTCGAGGTTTTCTTCTGGCGCAGTGTGGTGGGGAGCATGGTGGTGCGCGGTGGTGTGGTATGAAGTATGGTGGCAGTGCGGTGCAGTGCGGTGATAAGTCCGGCACCTGTGTACTGCTGTATGCCGGCGTACGCCTGCTGCATGGGGTCTGCAGCAGTGGGGCTCTGAGCTGTGGCACAAAGACAAAGATCCCCCGTATAGCCTTTAATAGACTGTTAGGGCTGTTCTCGAGCACATGTGAAGACCAGCACGGCACACGAGGGGGTAAGTGGCCAACACCACGCCTGGCCGCCTCTGCCTCCCCACTAGCAATGTTTACACACCGCACCAAGTACTCATTTGAGGCTGAATCGACCTAGGGGAGGCCCACAACCGATTCAGATAATCATTACTGGTGTGGGGCCGTCAACGGGAATCGAACCCAGGTTCGTAGTGCAGCGTGCTCACCGCTACACTACCACTCCCCATACCGCTGGCACTTGTTAAATTAAGAATATGGCTCAGGGTTAGGCCTAGGGGTTGTGATCAGGGTCACCTGGGTAGGGTTAGGGGTCAGGTCAGGGTCACCTAGGTGGGGTTAAGGATTGGGGTCACAGTCACCTGGATAGGGTTAGGGGTCAGGACAGGGCCACCTGGGTATGGTTAAGGGTTGCGGTCAGGGTCACCTGGGTAAGGTTAAACTAAAGCAAAAAATATATATATTTTACCAGGTAAGGCCCACTGAGCTATTTAGCTTTTTTTTCAGAAGTGACCTGGCCACACACGATAGCCCAAAGAAGTGGCTTATCCGTGGACATTTTCAGCAGTAGCTCGATATTCTAAACGCATGATGTTGATTCTAAATGTGGAGGGAAAACCCGCAGGACCCGGAAAAGAAAATCCACATGACCACAGGGAGAACACGCAAACTCCATATATACAGACACTGTCACGGTCAGGATCGAACCCACGACCTTCTGAATACCAGATGAGGTAGTTACCATTTAGACATCGTGGTTGTGGTTATGGTCACCTGGGTAGGGTTGGGGTCGGGGTCAGGGTTATCTGAGTAGGGTTAGGGGCCGGGGACATCTGGGTGGGGTTTTGAATCGGGGTCAAAGTCACCTGGGTAGGGGTTAGGGGTCAGGGTCACCTGGGTAGGAATCAGGATCACCTGGGTAGGGGTTAGGGGTCAGGATCACCTGGGTGGGGTTAGGGGTTAGGGGTCAGGCTCACCTGGGTGGGGTTAGGGGTTAGGGGTCAGGCTCACCTGGTGGGGGTTAGGGGTCAGGCTCACCTGGGTAGGGGTGCAGACCGTTGCTGTACAGGGCCTCGGGCTGGCCGTTGTGCTGGGGGGGCAGCGCCGTGAAGCCGTTGAGGCTCATGGGGGGCGGCGCGAGTGCCGGCACGCCCGACGAGCCGATCCCGGGGGGGGTGCTGCCCCCTGCAACCACAATCACAACCGCACAGCCACAACACAGCCACATTACAACCGCGTCAGTGCGAGCCGTCACTAAGCCGCCGCCGCCGCGCAAACCCTCGATTGCGCAGTGGTGTAACCACCGTGCAACCGCTGCGACCACATCGATGTAACTATAATACAACCGCACAGCCACAGTGGCACTATCACAATCGCACAGACACAGCTACGTCCATACAATCACAACCACACAACCACACAGACACAAGCAGGGACACGCAACCACAATCGCACATTCACCACACAGACATGACCACAAACAGCACAATCGCAAGCAGAGAGACACCACCACAGACACAACCGCACACCTACAACGCAGGTTAACACGTAGGCTTTCGCGACCAATAAGGAGGATTTCTCCACAACTCTGGCTGTCGCCTGATGATGCTGGTTGTAATTACTGGCGAAACGTTGTCGGGTGGTGGCGGGTTTAACGACACATTTATATTTACGCGATCTATTATGGATAACCACAATGCAGTCACGTCTATGACTCCGCTGTCAGAGGGGCCGATCGTCAGCCAAAGTAACTCATTACCCCCAAAATCACGCCCCAAGGCGGCCACAAGGAAGCGCTGAGGTGGGTCTTCGTTCAACTGTTGCTGAGCAAAACGTCGAGCGGCCAGCAATAAACAGCACGAGCATGAGCGCTGTAATGGATAGAACGTGAAGACGTTTCTTCATTTGAGCAAGGTTGCTGTCGTAAGAGCTTGGAGGGAAAGAGACGATGAGGGGAGGAGGGAATTGCAAAGTGGAGTGGTGCGAGGGAGGATGCAGAAAGGGAAGAGAGGTGGCCTGCAGTGTGGTGTGTGGGTGGGTGAACGTGTGTGCGTGTGTGTGTGGGTGAGTGTGTGCGTGGGTGAGTTTGTGCGTGGGTGAGCGTGTATGTGGGTGAGTGTGTGCGTGGGTGAGTGTGTGAGTCAGTGAGTGTCTGAGTGGGTGGGTGAGCGAATGTGGGTGGGTGAGCGAGTGTGTGGGTAGGTGAGCGAGTGTGTGAACGGGTGAGCGAGTGTGTGCGTGGGTGAGTGTGTGAGTGGGTGAATGAGTGTGTGAGTGGGTAAGTCAGTGAATGTGTGAGTGAATGGGTGAGCGAGTGTGTGGATGGATGAGCAAGTGTCTGAGTGGGTGGGTGAGTGAGTGTCTGAGTGGGTGAATGGGTGCGTGAGCCAGTAAGTGTCTGAGAGTGTGTGCGTGTGTGAGCGAGTGTGTGTGATGGTGATAGGGAGTGGGTCACGAGGTGTGACAGTCGTCTCACGGTTGGTGAGGTGAGAGGAGTGAGCCCGGGTGGTGAGGAGGAGCAGGCGGCTCACCTGACGTGGGAGTCATCGGCGGAGCGCCCAAACTTGTCATGTTCATCGCCGCCATCTGCTGCATCTGGGCGGCGGAGAAGGCGGAGACGGGGGCGATGTAGCCGCCCTGGGCCACGGCCATGAGCGCGGCCTGCTGCTGCATCAGCTGTGACACACACAGCCACACGGCATGCTGTTGCACCACACGTGCAGCTGTTGCACCGCATAACCAGCTGTTGCACCGCATAACCAGCTGTTGCACCGCACGGGCAGCTGTTGCACCGCACGGTCAGCTGTTGCACTACAGCTGTATCACACGAAACGCTGTCAAACAACACACTCAGCAGTTGCCCCAACTACCGCTCACAGCCTGCTCTCAGACAGCCTGCTGATACATTCGCTAGTATGCACTGCCTGCTCCTTTAATCAGCTGTGTGTAGAGTTGTGTGTGTGTGTACATTTTCACGTGTGGCCACCCCGAGGTCGACTCAGCCTTAAATGAGTGCCTGGTGCCGTGTGTAATTGGCATGAACATTGGGAAGGGAGGCAAATACACCGCGGTGACGAGATGTAAACTACCTCGCCTGGTATACAGGAGGCCATGGGCTCGATTCCGACTCTTGATCCCTGTATATATTTGGAGTTTGCGTGTTCTCCCCGTGGTCGTGTGGAATTTTCTCTCCACGTTTAGAATTAACATGCGTTTCAAGCATTTGGCTGCTATACATTTCCACGTGATAAGTCACTTAATTGAGCTACCATTTGTGGCCAGGTCACTTATGAAAGCGAGCTAAATAGCTGAGTGAGCCTTACCTGGTAAAACAACAATTGCTTATAGTTTAGCTACGGCCGGGCGAGCGGGCGGGCGTGGCGCTGGCCACCCAGACCCTCGTGCGCCGCTCCGGCCTTCACAGCACCTACTCGCAAACTGCACTTGCCCCAACGGTTCACTGAAGGCTACGCGGGGGACCTTTGTCCCTGCACGTCTCACCGCCTGGGCGTACGTCCCGTAGGCGCCGAACTGCAGCGCCATGGGGTTGAAGATGCCCAGCTGGCCGGCCATCTGCTGCATGCGGCGCAGAGTTCGCTCCTTGTCCGTGTCCGCGAACTTCACCACCAGACTGGAGGACGCACCCTGCAACGCGGAGAGACACGCGGAGAGACACACTGAGACACGTAAACACGGAGACACGCGAGACTGTTGGGGCAAGCGCTGTTAGCGAGCAGCACCTATGAAGGCCGATAAGGCACATGACGAGGTGAGTGGACAACACCACGCCCGACCGCCTTTGTCTCCCCAGTGGTGATGTTTACACACCGCAACCAGGTACTCATTTGAGGCTGAGTCAACCTAGGGGAGGCCCAGGACCGGTTCAAATAATCGTCACCGGTGTTTTCCGTGAGCGGGAATTAAACTCGGTTCGCTGGATACGTAGCACGGCATGCTAACCGCTCCACTACCTCGACACACACACGCACACACAGGCACGCCTCTTGAAGTTATGCATGGAACACACAGGTAAAAATAGCCCGTGACAAAGGTACACAGACACAGAAGGCACACGAAGACATATAATACAAAGACAAAACAAAGATCCCCCGTATAGCCTTAACAGACTGTTGGGGCAAGTGCTGTTCGCGAGCGATGCAACACAGACACGCGTAGACATAGACACACAAAGGTACACACGCTGTTACCATAGTAACATTCACACGCGGTTGCCATAGTAGCATTCACACGCGGTTGCCATAGTAACATTTACACGCTGTTTCCATGGTAACATTTACGCGCTGTTGCCATAATAACATTCGCGCGCAGTTGCCATAGTAACATTCATGCGCTGTTGCCATAGTAATATTCACACGCTGTTGCCATAGTGACATTCACGCGCTGTTGCCATAGTAACATTCACACGCTGTTACCATAGTAACAATCAAGCGCTGTTGCCATAGTAACACCAGGCACTTGCAATGGGATCTTGGGAGCATTAGCGCCCCGTGCTGGCGATCCTGGGAATAACGATGAGAATCCCATTCGTGTCAAGAGTGGCGGGAATGGCTGGGGATGCTACGGACAATTCCCTAAGGGACCTGTTAGAAACACAGACACACGCAGACACACAGACACACAGACACGCAGTCACATAGACGCACAGACGTAACGACACACATACACAAAGACACACACACGCAGACACAAAGACATAAAAACACACAGTCACATAGACACACAGACGTAAAGACACGCAGATACACAGACACAGACATAAAGAAGCACAGACATAAAGACACGTAGACACACAGACATGAAGACACATATACACACAGACACACAGACATAAAGACACACATACACAAAGACACACACACAGACATAAAGACACGCAGACATGAAGACACACAGACATAAAGACACACAGACACCAAGACACACAGACACAAAGACACAGACGCAAATACCGTACACAGACACAAGAACAGCCACACAGACACACACGCTCACACAAAGACACGTTCACACAGACACACACGTAAACACAGACACGTACACACAGCCACACACGCTCACACAGAGACACGTACACACAGGCACACACGTTCACACAGAGACACGTACACACAGCCCCACAAACACACACGTAAACACAGACACGTACACACAGACACACACGCTCACAGAGACACGTACACACATGCACACACGTAAACACAAAGACACGTACACACAGACACACACGCTCACAGAGACACGTACACACAGCCACACAGACACACACGCTCACACAGACACGTACACACAGACACACAGACACACGCTCACACAGACACGTACACACAGACACACACGCTCACACAGAGACAAACACACAAACATGCACGCAATGTACTCTGATTGGCAATGGGGTTGAGGGAACAGGCACTGATGGGAGAAGGTGGTGGGGGGGGGGGGGTCCTACCGGCATGGTCTGGCTCCCGTGGAGCGCGTTGATGGCCGCCTGAGCCTCGGCGTGGTTGGAGAACTTCACGAACGCGCAGCCTGGACACACACACACACAGCATACACACAGCACACACACAGCATACACACAGCACACACACAGCATACACACAGTGTATATACAACATATATACAGCATATATACAGCATAGACACAGCTTACATACACACAGCATACACACAGCATACACACAGCATATATACAGCATATATACAGCATACACAGCATATATACAGCATATATACAGCATAGACACATCATACACACAGCATATATACAGCATATATACAGCATACACACAGCATACACACAGCATATATACAGCATATATACAGCATAGACACATCATACACACAGCATACACACAGCATACACACAGTGTATATACAACATATATACAGCATAGACACATCATACATACACACAGCATACACATAGCATACACACAGCATACACACAGTGTATATACAACATATATACAGCATAGACACATCATACATACACACAGCATACACACAGCATACACACAGCATATATACAGCATAGACACAGCTTACACACAGCATACACACAGCATACACACAGCATACACACAGCATACACACATATATACAGCAATACACACAGCATACACACGCAGCATACACACAGCATACACACAGCATACACACAGTGTATATACAACATATATACAGCATACACACATCATACATACACACATCATATATACAGAACACACACAGCATACACACAGCATACACACAGCATATATACAGCATACACACAGCACACACACAGCATACACACAACATACATACAGCATACACACAGCATATATACAGCATACACACATCCTATATACAACACACACACAGCATACACACAGCATATATACAGCATACACACAGCATACACACATCATATATACAACATACACACAGCATACACACAGCATACATACGCACAGCATACACACAACATACACACAGAATATACACAGCATACACACAGCATATATACATCATATATACACACAGCATACATACACACAGCATACACACAGCATACACACAGCATATATACATCATACATACACACAGCATACATACACGCAGCACACACACAGCATATATACAGCATACATACAGCATACATACAGCATAGACACAGTGTATATACAGCATACACACAGCATACACACAGCATACACATAGCATACACACAGCATACACACAGCATACACATAGCATAGACACAGCATAGACACAGCATACACACAGCATATATACAGCATAGACACAGTGTATATACAGCATACACACAGCATAGACACAGCATATACACAGCATAGACACAGCGTATATACAGCATACACACAGCATACACACAGCATACACACAGAATATATACAGCATACACACAGCATACACACAGCATACACACAGCATATATACAGCATACACACAGCATAGACACAGTGTATATACAACATACACATAGCATACATACAGCATACACATAGCCTATATACAGCATACACACAGTATACACACAGCATATATACAGCATACACATAGCATATATACAGCATACACACAGCATACACACAGCATATATACAGCATACACACAGCATACATACAGCATACACATAGCATACACACATCATATATACAGCATACACACAGCATACACACAGCATACACACAGCATACACACATTATACACACAATATACACACAGCACACACGCAGCATATATACACATACATACAGCATACACACAGCATACACACAGCATACACACATCATATATACAGCATACACACATCATACACACAGCATACACATAGCATATATACAGCATACACACAGCATAGACACAGTGTATATACAACATACACATAGCATACATACAGCATACACATAGCCTATATACAGCATACACACAGTATACACACAGCATATATACAGCATACACACAGCATACATACAGCATACACATAGCATACACACATCATATATACAGCATACACACAGCATACACACAGCATACACACAGCATACACACATTATACACACAATATACACACAGCACACACGCAGCATATATACACATACATACAGCATACACACAGCATACACACAGCATACACACATCATATATACAGCATACACACAGCATACACACTGCATACACACATCATATATACAGCATACACACATCATACACACAGCATACACATAGCATATATACAGCATACACACAGGATACACACGGCATACACACAGCATACATACACACAGCATACACACAGTACACCATACCTACACAGTACACCATACACACACAGTACACCATACCTTCAAAGTGTACCATACACGCACACATTAGCACCGCACTAATCACTCCACTCACCACTACTGGCAGGTCCTCACCACTCACTCACCATCCCACTGGCTGTGCTCAACACTCACCACTGCTCACCACTCACCACTGCTCACCAATTGCTCGCGCTCACCAACTCACCACCTCCTCACCACCGCTCACCTTTGCTGTTGCCGTCCGGTCCGCGCAGGATGGTGCACTCCTCGATGGAGCCGAACGCCTCAAACATCCTCCTCACCTCCTCCTCGGCCTGCTGCTTGCTCAGCATGCCCACGAACAGCTTGCGGTCTGGACACAGGCGACACACGAGGTGACCAACACACACCGCTGATGGGGGGGGCTAATGGTGCACAAACACCACGCCCGGCCGCCTTTGTCTCCCCACCGCCGATGTTTTATTACACACCGCAGGGCTCGTTTTATGGCTGAGTCGACCTTAAGGGAGAGAGGGAGGGAGGACCACTGGCAGGACCGGTTGAGATATTCGCCGCTGTTTTTATTTGTCGTGAGCCCACGAGTCGAACTCAAAGTCCGGGTTCGGAGCGCGCGGTGCGCGAATCGCTGCGCCACCGCTCCCCCAAGGGTCACGCGCGCGCGTGCCCGGAGTGCCGAGTGGCCCCGGGGCGACCTCCAGTGGCGAGCCTGGCCCAGCTGACGCGCGGGGAGGGGGCCCCGTACACAGAGTCACCCCGACCCCCCAAACACGCGACGTTGAGCATCCTGGGGCTCGTGCACTCCACCCACACTCCACCCTCACACTCCACCCTCCTCACACTCCACCCTCCTCACACTCCACCCTCCTCACACTCCACCCTCACACTCCACCCTCACACTCATCACACTCCACCCACACACCTCATCACACTCCACCCTCACACTCCACCCACGCCCCTCCTCACACTCCACCTTCACACTCCACCCTCACACTCCACCCTCACACTCCACCCTCACACCTCATCACACTCCACCCTCCTCACACTCCACCCTCACACTCCACCCTCCTCACACTCCACCCTCCTCACACTCCACCCTCCTCACACTCCACCCTCACACTCCACCCTCACACTCCACCCACGCCCCTCCTCACACTACACCCTCACACTCCACCCTCACACCTCATCACACTCCACCCACACACCTCATCACACTCCACCCTCACACCTCATCACACTCCACCCTCACACTTCACCCTCACACTCCACCCTCACACTCCACCTACGCCCCTCCTCACACTCCACCCTCACACTCCACCCTCCTCACACTCCACCCTCACACCTCCTCATACTCCACCCTCATACCTCATCACACTCCACCCTCCTCATACTCCACCCTCACACCTCCTCACACTGCACCCACTCCACCCTCACACCTCATCACACTCCCCTCCTCACACTCCACCCTCCTCACCCTCACCACCTCAGCACACCTCCTCACACTCCACCCTCACACTCCACCCTCACACTCCACCCTCACACTCCACCCTCACACTCCCCTCCTCACCCTCACCACCTCAGCACACCTCCTCACACTCCACCCTCACACTCCACCCTCACACTCCCCTCCTCACCCTCACCACCTCAGCACACCTCCTCACACTCCACCCTCACACTCCACCCTCACACTCCCCTCCTCACCCTCACCACCTCAGCACACCTCCTCACACTCCACCCTCACACTCCACCCTCACACTCCACCCTCACACTCCCCTCCTCACCCTCACCACCTCAGCACACCTCCTCACACTCCACCCTCACACTCCACCCTCACACTCCACCCTCACACTCCACCCTCACACTCCCCTCCTCACCCTCACCACCTCAGCACACCTCCTCACACTCCACCCTCACACTCCACCCTCACACTCCCCTCCTCACCCTCACCACCTCAGCACACCTCCTCACACTCCACCCTCACACTCCACCCTCACACTCCACCCTCACACTCCCCTCCTCACCCTCACCACCTCAGCACACCTCCTCACACTCCACCCTCACACTCCCCTCCTCACCCTCACCACCTCAGCACACCTCCTCACACTCGACCCTCACACTCCACCCTCACACTCCCCTCCTCACCCTCACCACCTCAGCACACCTCCTCACACTCCACCCTCACACTCCACCCTCACACTCCACCCTCACACTCCACCCTCACACTCCCCTCCTCACCCTCACCACCTCAGCACACCTCCTCAACCTCCACCCTCACACTCTACCCTCACACTCCACCTCACACTCCACCCTCACACTCCCCTCCTCACCCTCACCACCTCAGCACACCTCCTCACACTCCACCCTCACACTCCACCCTCACACTCCCCTCCTCACCCTCACCACCTCAGCACACCTCCTCACACTCCACCCTCACACTCCACCCTCACACTCCACCCTCAAACTCCCCTCCTCACCCTCACCACCTCAGCACACCTCCTCACACTCCACCCTCACACTCCCCTCCTCACCCTCACCACCTCAGCACACCTCCTCACACTCCACCCTCACACTCCACCCTCACACTCCCCTCCTCACCCTCACCACCTCAGCACACCTCCTCACACTCCACCCTCACACTCCACCCTCACACTCCACCCTCACACTCCACCCTCACACTCCCCTCCTCACCCTCACCACCTCAGCACACCTCCTCACACTCCACCCTCACACTCCACCCTCACACTCCCCTCCTCACCCTCACCACCTCAGCACACCTCCTCACACTCCACCCTCACACTCCACCCTCACACTCCCCTCCTCACCCTCACCACCTCAGCACACCTCCTCACACTCCACCCTCACACTCCCCTCCTCACCCTCACCACCTCAGCACACCTCCTCACACTCCACCCTCACACTCCACCCTCACACTCCACCCTCACACTCCACCCTCCTCACCCTCACCACCTCAGCACACCTCCTCACACTCCACCCTCACACTCCCCTCCTCACCCTCACCACCTCAGCACACCTCCTCACACTCCACCCTCACACTCCACCCTCACACTCCACCCTCACACTCCACCCTCCTCACCCTCACCACCTCACCCTTCTACCGAGGACCCTCATCTTCCTCACATCTGACACGGTTCCCCGATTTCCCGTTGCCATGGAAACGGCTCACTCCCGCTGCCTCCCGGCCCAGTTACCATGGCAACAGCACCGTTACCATGGTAACCAAACAAGCACAGCATCTGCTCCATTGCATAAGAAGGCGGGGCAAGGATACGCTCACCACTAATACTAAAACTCACCATTCACTGCTCACCAATACTCACTACATTCACCATCAACAATTACTGCTCACCAATACTAATCACTTCACGAATACTCACCACTCACCCACTCACCAACACTCACCAATACTCACCATTAACCACTCACCAACACTCACAAATCTCACCATTCACCACTCACCAACATTCACCAATACTCACCATTCACCACTCCCCAACACTCACCAATACTCACCATTCACCACTCACCAACACTCACCAATACTCACCATTCACCACTCACCAACACTCACCAATACTCACCATACACCACTCACCAACACTCACCAATACTCACCATTCACCGCTCACCAACATTCACCAATACTCACCATTCACCACTCCTCAACACTCACCAATACTCACCATTCACCACTCACCAACACTCACCAATACTCACCATTCACCACTCACCAACACTCACCAATACTCACCATTCACCACTCACCAACACTCACCAATACTCACCATTCACCAATACTCATCATTCACCACTCACCAACACTCACCATTCACCACTCACCAATACTCACCACTCGCCACTCACCAACACTCACCAATCGTCTCTGCTCGCCACTCACCAAGGAAGGGAGGGAGAGGCGTGCAGTCCGCTCACCCCGTACCCTCACCCCCCGGGGCCCTCACCCCCCCCCCCCCCATACCTCACTCATAAACCACAATTGACGAGTTCGTTATCATGAAGAGGTGCATTGATGTGGGCGACGAGGTGAGTAAGGAGGTATGGGTGAGGCGAAATATATGAGGCTTGACGAGGTTGGACGTGGGGAGGAGGTGAGTGGGAAGGTGGGCGAGGCGAGTTTGGTGAGTCGTGGTGAGTGACGAGGGGTGGGAACAAGGTTTGCGTCGCGGTGGGTGAATGGCGATGTGAGGAGGGGAGTGGTGAGGTGGAGAATCTCACCTCCTCGGCTCTCGCTGTCTGCTGGCTTCACCTGGATGGGTCTGTTCATCTGCAAGGAGACGACAGCACGGGTCACGTAACACGCCACCTCGTATTTCCACTACCACACCGCCTCCCCCATCACCACCACCTCACCTTGCCACGTTATCACACCATCGCCCCTTTACACCACCTCCCCCATCACCACCACCACTACCTCATCACACCTCATCATCATCATCACACCAACTCATCACAACCCCATCATCACAGCTCACACCCAAGAGTGGTGAGGTGAATGCGGTGAGGGTGGTGAAGGTGTGGTTGTTTCTGAGTGGTTGCTGTGGTTGTGTTAGTGGTGTGGTTGTTGTTTGGTTGTGTTAGTGGTGTGGTGGTTGTGGTGATGTTAGTGGTTGTGTTATAGGTGTGGTTGTGTTATAGGTGTGGTTGTGTTAGTGGTGTGGTTGTTGTTGTTGTTCGTGGTGGTGGTTGTTGTTGTTGTGGTTGCGGCTCGCGTCTATGTGATTATAAATCCCGATCAGCAAGTGGCTCCTTAATCCGCGGCGGGGGGGGGGGGCGGACGGCATGGGGGGGGGGGATTAAACCACGACTCTGATGGATATTAATCCAGCTCCCTCACCCCCTCACCTCTCACTCCACCATCCCTCACTCCACCATCCCTCACATCCCCACCCTCACTCCACCACCCCTCACCCCACCACCCCTCACCCCACCACCCCTCACTCCACCACCCCTCACTCCACCACCCCTCACCCCACCACCCCTCACTCCACCACCCCTCACTCCACCACCCCTCACCCCACCACCCCTCACTCCACCACCCCTCACCCCACCACCCCTCACTCCACCACCCCTCATCTCACCACCCTTCACTCCACCCTCCCTCACTCCACCACCCTCACCTCACCAGCCCTCACTCCACCACCCCTCATCTCACCACCCCTCACTCCACCACCCCTCACCCCACCACCCCTCACTCCACCACCCCTCACCGCTCACCCCTCACCCCTCACCTGACCATCCCTAACTCCACCACCCCTCACTCCACCACCCCTCACCCCACCACCCCTCACTCCACCACCCCTCATCTCACCACCCCTCACTCCACCACCCCTCACTCCACCCACCCCTCACCGCTCACCCCCTCACCCCTCACCTGACCATCCCTAACTCCACCACCCCTCACTCCACCACCCTCACCCCACCACCCCCCACTCCACCACCCCTCACCTCACCAGCCCTCACTCCACCACCCCTCATCTCACCACCCCTCACTCCACCACCCCTCACTGCTCACCCCTCACCTGACCATCCCTAACTCCACCACCCCTCATTCCAACCACCCTCCCTCACTCCACCACCCTCACCGCTCACCCCTCACCTGACCATCCCTCACTCAACCACCCCCTCACTCCACCACCCCTCACTCCACCACCCCTCACCCCCACCCCACCCCTCACCCCACCACCCCTCCCCTCACCACCCCTCACTCCACCACCCCTCACCCCACCACCCCTCACCCTACCACCCCTCCCCTCACCACCCCTCACTCCAACACCCCGAACCCCACCACCCCACCACCCCTCCCCTCACCACCCCTCACTCCACCACCCCTCACCCCACCACCCCTCACCTCACCACCCCTCCCCTCACCATCCCTCACTCCACCACCCCTCACTCCACCACCCCTCACCCCACCACCCCTCACCCCACCACCCCTCCCCTCACCACCCCTCACTCCACCACCCCTCACCCCACCACCCCACCACCCCTCCCCTCACCACCCCTCACTCCACCACCCCTCACCCCACCACCCCACCACCCCTCCCCTCACCACCCTCACTCCACCACCCCTCACCCCACCACCCCCTCACCCCACCACCCCTCCCTCACCACCCCTCACTCCACCACCCCTCACCCCACCACCCCACCACCCCTCCCCTCACCACCCCTCACTCCACCACCCCTCACCCCACCACCCCTCACCTCACCACCCCTCCCCTCACCATCCCTCACTCCACCACCCCTCACTCCACCACCCCTCACTCCACCACCCCTCCCCTCACCACCCCTCACTCCACCATCCCTCAACTCCACCACCCCTCACTCCCACCCACCCCCTCACCCCACCACCCCTCACTCCACCACCCCTCACTCCACCACCCCCTCACCCCACCACCCCTCACTCCACCATCCCTCACTCCACCACCCCTCACTCCACCACCCCTCACCCCATCATCCCTCACCTCACCATCCTTCACCCCCCACCCCTCACCCCCACCCCTCACCCCTCACCCCATCATCCCTCATCTCACCATCCATCACCCACCATCCTTCACCCCCCACCCCTTACACCCCTCACTGACCCCTCCATCCCCACCCCCCTGTTTCTCATCTCCCTCCAACTCCTCCCATGTCTCCCAATACCCCCTCTTCTGCTATCTCTGCATCTTCCCCTTCTCCCCCCTCTCTCTCCCTCCGAAGAACCCCACCGCACAAACCCGCCCCCTGAGGCTGTAATGACCCTGAAATTGACTTAGAATGAGGCGCGACTGGTTTACCCCACTACCCCCAACCTTGTTAACCTCACCACCCCCTCACCACAGCTACCTCACCACCCCCCTCACCACAGATAACCTCACCACCCCCCTCACCACAGCTACCTCACCATCCTCCTCACCACAGCTACCTCACCACCCCCCTCACCACAGATAACCTCACCACAGCTAACCTCACCACCCCCTCACCACAGCTAACCTCACCACCCCCCTCACCACAGATAACCTCACCACCCCCCTCACCACAGCTAACCTCACCACCCCCCTCACCACAGCTAACCTCACCACCCCCTCACCACAGCTAACCTCACCACCTCCCTCACCACAGATAACCTCACCACCCCCCTCACCACAGATAACCTCACCACCCCCCTCACCACAGCTAACCTCACCACCCCCTCACCACAGCTAACCTCACCACCTCCCTCACCACAGATAACCTCACCACCCCCCTCACCACAGATAACCTCACCACCCCCCTCACCACAGCTAACCTCACCACCCCCCTCACCACAGCTAACCTCACCACCCCCTCACCACAGCTAACCTCACCACCCCCCTCACCACAGATAACCTCACCACCTCCCTCACCACAGATAACCTCACCACCCCCTCTCACCACAGCTAACCTCACCACCCCCCTCACCACAGATAACCTCACCACCTCCCTCACCACAGATAACCTCACCACCCCCCTCACCACAGATAACCTCACCACCCCCCTCACCACAGATAACCTCACCACCCCCCTCACCACAGATAACCTCACCACCCCCCTCACCACAGCTAACCTCACCACCCCCCTCACCACAGCTAACCTCACCACCCCCTCACCACAGCTAACCTCACCACCCCCTCACCACAGCTACCTACAGCTACCTCACCACCCCCCTCACCACAGATAACCTCACCACCCCCCTCACCACAGCTAACCTCACCACCCCCCTCACCACAGATAACCTCACCACCCCCCTCACCACAAATAACCTCACCACCCCCCTCACCACAGCTAACCTCACCACCCCATCACCACAGCTAACCTCACCACCTCCCTCACCACAGCTAACCTCACCACCCCCCTCACCACAGCTAACCTCACCACCCCATCACCACAGCTAACCTCACCACCCCCCTCACCACAGATAACCTCACCACCCCCCTCACCACAGATAACCTCACCACCTCCCTCACCACAGATAACCTCACCACCCCCCTCACCACAGCTAACCTCACCACCCCCTCACCACAGCTAACCTCACCACCCTCCTCACCACAGATAACCTCACCACCCCCTCACCACAGATAACCTCACCACAGATAAACTCACCACCCCCCTCACCACAGATAACCTCACCACCCCCCTCACCACAGCTAACCTCACCACCTCCCTCACCACAGATAACCTCACCACCTCCCTCACCACAGATAACCTCACCACCCCCCTCACCACAGCTAACCTCACCACCCCCCTCACCACAGCTAACCTCACCACTTCCTCGCCACAGATAACCTCACCACCCCCTCACCACAGATAGCCTCACCACCCCCCTCACCACAGATAACCTCACCACTTCCTCACCACAGATAACCTCACCACCCCCCTCACCACAGATAACCTCACCACCCCCTCACCACAGATAGCCTCACCACCCCCCTCACCACAGATAACCTCACCACTTCCTCACCACGCTAACCACACCACACTCACCACGTTTACCACAACACACTCCTTCACCACACTAACCACATTACCTCACTACGCTTACAACACCACTCTCTCACGACACTAACTACACCAAACTCCCTCAACCACGCTTACCACACACACTCCCTCACCACACCGCCTCACCACATTCACCACTCCCTCACCACGCTAACCACATCACTCCCTGACCAGACTTACCACACACACACACTCCCTCACTACACCGCCTCACCACACTGACCAAACCGCCCCTCTCACCTACGCTCACCACTCCACACTTACACCTCACCCACATTCTACCCCTCGCTCCGCCATCTCCCTCCCCCTTATCCCGCCCGGTCCCCCCCCCCGTTCACCCCCTTCCCGTTCACTCTCCTCCCCCCCCCGTTCACCCTCCCCCCCGTTCACTCTCCTCCCCCCGTTCACCCCCCCCCGTTCACCCCCCCCCGTTCACCCCCCCCCGTTCACCTCCCCCCGTTCACCCCCCCCGTTCACCCCCCCCGTTCACCCCCCCCCGTTCACCCCCCCCGTTCACCCCCCCCGTTCACCCCCCCCGTTCACCCCCCCCGTTCACCTCCCCCTCCCCCCGTTCACCCCCCCCGTTCACCCCCCCCGTTCACCCCCCCCCCCCGTTCACCCCCCGTGTTCACCCCCTCCCCATTTCCCCACCCCCCCGTCCCCTCCTCCATCTCTCCCCCTCCCCTCCCCTCTTAATTTGCTTCTCTCCGCCCCGCAGCGCCCCCATGATCGCCCCACCCGGTTTCCATGGCGACAGTCGTGCGCGCA